AAGAGTTTTGCTTTTCGGTTGTGCTGTTTTTCTCAGGGAAGCATTAGCAGCGGTTTTTTTCACGCACCTCTGGCTAATTTGAATTCGTGAATTTTTTCTTTTGTGCTCGCGTTTTGTTTACGACCATGTCGGTGCAATGAGAGACGAGAGAGCGACAGTGTATGAAGGAAAATTTATGAAATCGGCGGGCAGATGCCGGCAAATGACAGAACGCAGTCGGTCCCCGTCAAAGTCTGGCCCCTGCGCGGCAATAAAAATGATTTTGTCAAAGGCGCGGCGGGAGATCGCGCCGTATTGTCAAATATTTTTACTGCCACCGAAATTTATTGCCAACCCCTTATTTGTGTGCACTCCGGCATAATTAAAAGCAGCATCCTTGGCTGCAACCCTTCTTCTCAACACCCGTGAAGTCTCTCCCAATTAAAATATTTAATGACAACACAGAGCTGTAGTCGCAGACTGATTAAAATTCAATACGTTTTCAGCGCGCAAATTAATGGTAATTCATTCTCCGCGTCGTTTTACGACGCGTGACCAATTCTCTCGATTCTATAGAGAGAGATGCAATTCTCTCGTTTCAATAGATGCACAAAAAATGTTTCCTCGGTTCATCTTTAATCGAGGTTATAGCCTCGCATTTTGCGCTTATTTAAACTCGTCTGTATTTTATGAGACATTCTTGGTCAAAGGAAAAAAGAGACCGTTGAGAATGTAGGAATCGGACTTTGATATGCTAATAAGTAAGATGAATTCAAAGATGTACTTTATACAAACTGCAAGCGTTGACATTCCTACAGCGAAAATTTGCCGATTTCTGTGCAAATCCAAGCAGTCGTGTTTATCTGGTATGACTTATGACTTACATAACTTTTTTGAGAAATTGTATTTACATTTCACATGTTAGACTGCATATTATTTTAAATTAATGTTTATGATTTTACGATATTAGACTTAAAATTGTTTAAAATACGTTTTTAATAGTAAAAACATAAACCAAAAGTTCGTGCATGGAAGTCAAAACAAAAGTTATTTTGCTAATTTATGACAATTTGAAAAGTAGGTCATAATACGTAATAATTTTTAATTTATAATTATGCCACACTATACTAAAACTTACAGAAACTTTATGAAATTAATATATTTCAGTTAATTTTTTATTTTACAAATTAGTTCTTTTAAATTTAAACATAGAGCAATGATAATATTTATTTTGTTTTTTTTTTAATTGTAAATTAAGCTCAAAATGACTATTGTTTTTATAATTTCTGAATTTTACACTGCTTTAAAATATTCTAAGTTAAGTGCTTAAGCAGTGTGACAAAACACCATAAAACTTTAAAGTCAGCGCTGTTTTCTTTCTAGATTATACACTCTATTCATTATTATTTAAAAACAAAATATTCTGTTCAAGTTCAATTCTTATAAGAGATTTTTTTTCAATTATTAAATTACATAGCAATTTTTTAATTGCATAAAATTTTAAACTCAAGGGACAGAAAAATATTTAAGTTCAATAAAAAAATATAGAATATTACAATTAAAAATCTTAATTTTCTGAAGAATTTTCACTGTAAAAGTCGGTTTTCATTTTTATATTTTTTTGTATAAAAAAAAAGACAACAGATGCTTCTCTAAAAAAACAAAAATTGTCGAAGCGTGAATGACAGCAAGCATTTTTCAACATTTACGCCTCTTATAATATTATTTTATATTTTCGGCAAAACTGCACTTTTCCAAACCCTTTTCGTTAACGAGAGTGAGAGTGCATCTGTCGTCGAGTGGCGCGTGCATCACCATAAAATAATAATTACGCTTGCATGGACTTTATTAAGGCGGCTTTTTTATATGAAGCGAGAGTTGTAAAGCGATGCAATTAAAAAATTGTAAAAGCACCCCTTCGACACGAGTTTGAGAGCTTTTTCGGTGTCATTTAATTACAATGTCAAGCAGGTATCGGAGCTTTTATGGGCCGTCAGCTGCAACTTCCGTTATTACCGAAATTGGTGCCGCATCCCTCCGTCCGATCCGAACGATAGCCGGACACTCCACGCATGCTAATCAACCTTGGCAAAGCATTGTCTGCTCACTTCTGACCCCTACGATTTTGTTCAAATGAATGATTCACAGTTTCTAATCAGAAATTAAAAGTTTGTGATTATATAGATGCTTGAAAACATTTTCTGCATATATTAATCTGTTCCCCACTCAAATTACTGTTTGGAAACCGTTAAAGCAAAACGCTATTTTTGGCCAGTAAACCACAAAATAGGAAATGAATAATTATAAGAACCGATTATTCTTAATCAAACCGAAGCACAGTAATATTAGATAATTGCCAAAATTCCCACAATTTTGAACCCCTCTCTAAAAATATCTCATTTTTCATTCGGCCGTGTATAATTTTGGGTAAAATGACCACAGCTGCTGCGATTCCGCAAAATTAATGTTGCGTAAAAATAAATTTTATTTTAAAATAAAAAAACCAGCCTTAAAATATCAAAGGTATTGCAAAATTGACTCGATAAATTATGTGCAAGATTTTAATTCAAAAATTCATTTGGTATCAATAATTTTCAAGCAACTCTGATACAGGTGAAACCTGAACTCATTGTTAGTTTGGTAATTATCGGACACCAAACAAATTGGCCGTAGCTTAATTAAAATTTTCGCTTTTACCCGCCCATAGCCTTTACTTCTTTCTGAGGAAATCAAGTGCTGGCAGTAATTACGATTCGCGTCTGCTGCCGACGCGTCGGGGAGCTTAGACCGGAAGTCGCAGTTCATGCATGTCAAAGTGCAATAAAGCTCATTTGCCTCTCTCGCTTGAATTATCAAATTATAACCTGCGTGCGCGTGCATTACCTTTTTTCTACAAAGGGGCTGTGTTGTGTAAAAACAATCAAACGTGCGCCGCGAAAACAATGGTTGCCTTTTAGTTTTTTCAATTTGTTTACGTGCTCTAGTGGATTGTGCGTTGGAGTTGCTAAGAGCAAAAAGGAAAGGGGTTGAAGCAAGGAGTGAAAATTACTAACGGCGATCTGACAAATTAATTTGTCGACGTTTTAAAATCTGTTTGATGACGTTGATTAATATAGAAGAATTTTGAAAGAATTATTTTAATAAATGTATTAAAAAAAAAAAAATTGTGGCAAAAAAAAATTTCCTGCAAACTACGTTGTTTATAAAGTTTAGGCATCTTCATTAATTTATTTCAAGGTTTATTTTTAAAATTTAAAAACGTAATTTGCGTTTATAATTAATTTCGAATTTGAGTTTATATGAGAAGAAAAAATATTTAATAAAAATTGTTTCCATTGGATTTTTCTTTCAAATCATCTAATATCAGATTTATTTGTTTGTTGTAACTGTTTATTTATATTTTTACTTAAGGATTTGACATAAATATGGACTTAAACTGTTATCTATGTATTCATTTGTTAAATAACCTGGAAAGAACTTTTATAATTGGCATTAACAAACGCTCTAAGCGCAAATTGAATTATGGAAATTGCCGTTATTCCGCTGCGCATAAGAAATATTAAATTACCTTCCCGGTTATGCCAAAGAGCTGATTACGAGAAGTATGAAATTCAAGTAGCATCTGCCGCCGTGCAATATATTTTCCATTTCGCAAACGCGATTTCCGCCCGCCAAATGAAACCGCATCAACACGCGCCGACCGAATAATAATTAAGTAATTCATTCGTAATTTCATTTGCAGGAGCGCGTCGTTTGTTCCGCTCTTTTCACCGCGGCCATACAAAAAACTCGCCGTTCCATTCATCGGACAGAACACGAAAAACTGACCATTGATTCGGAGTGACGTGCGGTTTGACAGGCGCTCATTACCCGATCAGTCACACAAACGCAGAATTGAGTTATTACAATTCATTGTGCGGGTGAAAAGAAGGGTGGTGTTGAGAGTCGCGTGCCGCTTGTGAATTTCAATAACATCATCTGGCGGATCACCAGAGGGTAGCAAAGATTTGCTTGGCTGCGCTCCTCGGAGGAGAATGCATAAAAAAGCAGATGGCAATTTCGTTACAAATCTTCGCTCGCTCAATTTAATTTTCAACACTTGGTGCGTCTTGCGATGCGATTCCACGCCGCCGATAAGAGGGTTAATTATTATAAATTTATTCGGGGGAGAGAACGCGCCACCCTTCCAGAAGCTACACTTTTCCAAAACGGCTCGCGTTGCAGCGAGGAAATTGAATTATCTCGAAGACCATAAATTTCGATTTGTTATCTCGTGACGCGGAGTGGCCCCGAATAAAATCCAATCCCTGCAAGCTGACCACGTGCAGCTGCAATCGGTATAAATTTCCATCAATTATGCCCTTCACACTGTGGGTAGCCACAAACTGATCCACATTCAGACGACTTTTATGTTATTTCAGTTTTCTTTTGGTTATGCTTTATAGTTTTTACAATAACTTGTTTCCAGAATTTTTAAAATACAAAGATTTATTTGTTACCACTTTTCCTCCTAATCCAATGGAATTGTCATGAGCGATAGAGGTAATCATATCAAATATTTTTTATTATTTTAAACTCGTCTAATAAACTCCAATGTTCTGAAATGAGAACGCGAGCGTATAAAATTTATAAATTATTGATGTATTTAAAATTGAATTCACTGTTCTTTATCTTCTCAAAAATCAGATGATGAGTCTTAAAAAAAAGATAAAAAGTGTTTTAAAGCTGTCTTAAACTAAAAGAAAATATTAAAATTTGATATCCGTTGTACCCAAATTTTTATACTTTTTTTTTATTTCATTTGAAACGTAGCCATTGTATTTATGTGTTGACTATATTATTTTGAATGCTAAATTTCACTCTGCGAACCTTCCCGTTGCTGTGTGCTGTGATTAACACATCATAATTATCTTCAATTGCATAATATTTTTATTATTTAATAATATTCGAAATGAATTAAAATTTTCAATTTGACAATTTTAAAAATAATTTTGTATTGATTGAGAAAAATTTTGTTGCAGACACGTGTTTGACTTCGGAAAACAAAGAGCCGCTGGTGCAGACGATCGTGTCTCCGGAGGCGCCACGTCCTAAATTGGATCCAAACAGCCCGAAAAACAATTTGCCGACGTCGCCTCTGCTCATTCGTCGCAGCTTCAAAAAGGCTCAAAACGAACCGATCGCCGTCGAAAAACTCATCCTGATGCAGGATTTGATCAAGCAGCAGGAGCACAAGCGCGGCGCCGAGCGCGGCGTCGACACGCTGATGACTCCGAGCGACCCGAAAAAACAGTGCGTCGTCGCCAGCAACAACAAGACGGTGCGCGTCGCCGCCACGCCGACGCCCAAAGTCGTTCAACGGAGCAACTCAATGAGCGCCAAAGAGACGCCAGTCAAGACCGAGGGCCTCGCCACCAGCTTTCTCAGGTTTGAATTTTAAATTTTTTTCACTCAACCTGAGCGAATTGCGTAACGACCCAATTTTTCTTATCTCCGTCGGCCTAGTGTTGAAAAATGTATGATTTTGTGTGTTATGATTGCAGACGGTCGTTCAGGCGACGCTCTGTTATGCACTTCAGCACGCCGAAGCCACGCAGGAAAAGTGAGTCGGGCACGCCAGACAAAACAACAGGTGCGTGCAAAATCTTGATAAAAATTAGTGAGCCGTGTAAACCGATAGGTCGTGATCCAATTTAAGTCGTGCATGCAATTTTCACGCCGACTTTTGACTAAATGGCAGATTTTGTTTTTGAGATTAAAAATAAAAGTCTAGTTTATGTTTTATTAAATTTTATTTTTCTCCAATAACTATATGACCAGATAACAGTAAATTAGAAAAAAATATCAAATATTGGTATTTTACAATGATATTATTAGTAAATTGTTGTAGTTTAAGTCTGAAATAGTGATTTTAACTATTGATTCGAGTTTAATTTTTCTAAATTGTAAGTTTAATTTCAATCAATTTTTATTGAAATTTACAGTCTTAAGTCACACTGCCAAAGAATTGCATAATTATATGTTTATATTCATCGTTCAAAAACTGCCGATATAAATTTAAAATGTAAGTTAAGAACTCGGGGTTTTTACAACGAGGAAAAAGCCCAAGTTCTTTGCTTTCGCGATCATCTCCTCCTCATTTGTAAATTTCTTCAAACAAATAAATTTAAAATATTTACTGGCCATTCAATTTCCAAGTTTAAAAATTTACTAAAAAATTGATCAATTCCTAAAGTTTGAGTAACTTCCAAAGTTAAAAAGACAACAATGTAAATTTTATTTCTGAAAGAAGTGAAGAATTAAAAAAAAAAAACATGATTGTGTATTATTAATTAATATTTGGTGGGTGCAGACCACTTCAAATTTATATGATATAAAATTTTTGAATAATTAAGAATGATGTTTACATTTCAAAAATCCACATATAAATTTTATTTATTATGCGTTCATTAAAAATAACTTTTTGATATATTTTATTTTATTTCAATTTCATTATATTTTATACTTAATATTGAATTATTCTATTTGTCAATCAAATCAATTTAGCTACAAAATAACTAGTTGAGTCGCAAGAAATTTAAATTTGGCTTCTAGAAATGCAATTTATTATTCTTAAATTCCTTTTTTTAATATAAATTAGACAATCAATTCTATAACTGGGAAATTCCGCTTCTTTCTTATAATTTTGATAATACATAAAAAGTGCCACTTAAATAAAAGCTATTGTAAATAATTGAAGAGCATCATTAAATTAAAATATTTAAAATGTTTTTATAAGTATCAATTTTGTGGTCCATAGACGTTTCGATGAAAGAAAGCAGTCAGTACGCGCCGTGCCTGTTGTCAGGGGTCGTGACCAAAGTGTCCAGCTCGGCGCTGAACCGCGACGGACGCAGCAAGAAATTCTTGGCGGCGCTGGACGATGGTCGGCTTTTCTACTTCCCGACCAAGCACGTAAGACCCTATCAAATCGCAGCCACTCAGGCCGACATTATAATCTTTGTCTCACGATTTTCAGGACTACCTGAGCGGAACGCGCGGAAAGGAAATTCCGCTGCGATGCGCGGCCGTCCGAGTGCCCCGCGACCCCAAACGAGCGCACCCCCACGTCCCCCCTTCCGCAACTGGTCAGTTTCAAAAACAATTTCACGCTTTTCATCAGCGATGCTAATCTGAAAAAAATGTTTTGTGTTCAGTGACTCTGACGCCACTGAGGGACAGTTGGTACGCCAAAGACGAGATTGCGCTCACCAAGTATAATGAGAGGACGGGCGAGGTCGTCGACAGTCCAAGGTTCGTTCGCTCTTTTGCTAATTGACGGTCTTCCGGTTGCATCACCGTGACTTAATTATCTTCCTTTCATAGAACCTTCATAAATATCTTTAATAATTGGCATATAGCTGCAAAAATTTAATTGATGTTTATGTTTACGAATATAAAAGTAATTTAAAGTGAGAGATATCATGATGCTCATTTTTTAATGGCTTTTCAAAAGAATTTGTCTTGATGTTCATTCAATTCGCCATAAAAAATATATGTGCTAATTTCATGAAAAACGTTTTGATTATTTAAATCGTAAACAAAACTTACAAGAATTAAATTTATAATTTCAAACTATATTACAAATATCAGATGTAGATTTTAAAATTGTTTTAATTTTAAGTTCTATCTTCTCAATTATATGAATTATATTAAAACTTATTTTTCTTGTTTCATTTTTAGAACTACAAATGCACCTAGTGGATCAGTAGAAGGTAAGAAAATTATTCAATTTCATTCCCCCTCTCTAACTTTCGTTTTTTTAGCTTTAATTTAAATTTGTACTTTTTTATATTTTTAGGTGCTTTTCCATTGGAAATCGTTTCGTTTGATGGCAGGTGCTGGCGTTTCGAGGTGGCCAGCAAATCTGACCGCGACAATTGGTTTTCCACCATCGAGAAGCAAATCATGCGTGAGCTTCAGGTGAGCTGAGCTTTCCCATTGTCTCATTTTTATTTTAATGAGGGCTATGTCTCGACAAGTATTAATTTGTCTCTTCCCGTTTGGCCCGCAGGTGGACGGCGGCAATCCAACGAATTCGCCCGGCACGGCCGACCTGAGTGTGGCTCAGGTGGCAGGTGAAAACGCCCTTGTGCTCAGGACGCTGCCTGGAAACGAGGTTTGCGCCGATTGCGGCGAAAAAGGTGAGCAGATTTTAATATAAATGTTGGAACTTTTGGATTTTTATATGTTATTAAATTATTATTTAGACCCAGCATGGGCAAGTCTGAACCTGGGCGTCCTCACATGCATCACTTGTTCCGGGGCGCACCGAGGACTCGGTTCGCATGTGTCAAGAATCCGATCTCTGGAGCTGGACCATTGGACGTAAGTTTATTTCTTGATTAGATTACTTAACTTTGTGTGACTTAGCAATGTTTAAAAAAAAAATGTCAGAAAGCTAAATTTGCTATTATTTTAATCGTTATTGCATTGGCAATTCTTATCAACGTGATTTATAAAAAAATCTGGTTTTGAAGTTTCCGCAAGTAGGTAATTTTAAACAGATATAGAACAAGAGGAAAGTAATTTAATATTCAAAAATAGAAATATGGTAAAATTGTGGGATTTTTTGCTATTTACAGGCAAATAACAGTTGAAATTACAAAAAATGTTTCACAATTTCGACGTAAATAATTCAAACAATATCTAAATTTTTATACAGTAAATATTGCAATACCCAGAATTGAAAAACAGCTCTTTAATATTATAATATTCAATATTACAAAATGAAAATCTGCTAACAAAATTAAAGTTTTTGACAAAACATGATTATTATTATTTTCTATATCAAACACATATGTGTACAACGTCATGAATCGCTGGTTAAAATCAATAATAGAAACATAATGAATATTTTTTTAATTTGTATTAAAAAAGCAACGCAATTTTTTGAAAGGAGGAAAAATAATGTTATTTTATTTTTATGGATAAATTTTGATGCTTGCCAACCTTCGTCAACATTTTTTGTTATTTTTATACTTGACAGGCAAGGCCAGATTGCAGCGATGCAGCTGATTGGCAACAAATTGGCAAACACAATTTGGGAAGCTGACCTGGGAAGTCGCTCGAAGCCCCGACCCGAGTCAAGCAACGAGGAGAAGCGCAGCTGGGTGCGCGCCAAGTACGGCGACAAAGACTTTTTGCGGGTGCCCGAGCACCCGACCATTCCAGCTTTGCGAGTGGCGGTGCACGAACGGGACGTGCGGACGGTGCTGTCCATTGTTGTGAGCTGCCCGGAAGTGAGTCTGTCCATCCTGCTGCACGCGGCGCGCGAAAACCACTTTGCCGAACTGGTGCAATTCTTGCTGTGGAACGGCGCCAAGCAGGAGGTCGACATTTCTAGTCTGGTGCTCCTCATGAAGACCTGCGGCTGCTCCAATCTCATTTGAATCATATATTCACTCCGACCTTAATTAATTCATTACTTTAAGGCCAGTTAATTATTAATTTTTATTTTTAGAGAATTGGAGAGGTTGAATCTGTTTCTGAAAAAATATTCAAGATGATTACTCTTTTAATTCTGCTCTTCGGCACAAACTTTGTGATAATTATTTAATGCTTTTATTCTAAGAAAGCTCTTATTATATATTAGTATCATGATGATTTTCTTCTGTCTCTGTTTGAAATTTGTTTTTCTTTTGTACATATTTTTTTCCCAAACGCAATTTGTAATATTTAGCCTAGAAAACCAAAGCCAGGTTTTAAGATTTAAAGATTTGCTATTGAAATTGGTTTTGTTTGTGAGGAACAGATAAGAGTGTATAGAGATAGACGCATTAAAATATTCAACCTAAAGGAAAGGAACCTGGAAAAGATTGTTGTTTGATTTGAATCACAACTACTGAAACATTTCACCTGCACAAAACGGAAGGAAGAATTTTCACCTGTCTCTGATTTCAGGTGTTTTTGGTTCTTGAGTAAAACTGTTTTCAACGGTTTTCGTATAACGAATTTTTTTATTGCTGAGACATTAAATTTTATAGATTCGTTTCTCTGAGTATTATTATCATATTTCATAAAAAAATATGGCAGCGATTTGGAATCCTGAGTATTTTAAGGGGGAGGTGGAGGGGGTGGCACGAAGTCCTTGCTCACGGCTTTGCACTCTTCGTACCAATTTACGGGACGAATGGGCTCCGTCAGCTCACGGAATTTCTCCAACGGACACTCAAAGTCACAGCCTTGGATTTTCAGCGGCTCTGGCTCTGGCTTCTCTTCAGTTCTTCGGAAAACCTGAAAAATTTCGAATTAACAAAAATGAATCTCAATATGAAAATTTTCGACTTACTCTGACGGCAAAGTGACCAGGCGTTGGCTCGACAAGCTCGAGCAGGACCAGGGCGCTGTAGCCAGGGATGTAGGGGGCCTTGTAGAGGCCAAAAGCTGCCAGGATGTTGGCGACAGTGGAGTCGTGACCAGAGTAAAGGTAAAGTTTCACTTTCTGTCGGGCAGCTGCCTCCTTCTCAAAATCAGCCAAAACCTTGTTTACCAGGGGCCCTATAAAAATAATTTTATTATAAATAATTATAAAAAATAAAGCGAAGAAATTTATGTTAAATTAATTTACCAGCTTTAAGCCTGAGCAAAAGAGGAGTTTGCACATTAATCAGGAAACTGTAGCTGGTCATGTTGATGAAGGCATCTGGGAAATATGCCTTTGTCCACTCCGGCAGGGTCAAATTGTAGCGTGTCTAAATATCATAATTTATGTTGTGTTTTAATAAAAAAAGTTTAATGTAAATTATTGAACAAGATATCATTTTTATTTTGTATTTATTGATTCTTATTGAATTTATTTTATTAAATATTTTAAAATATTTTTTATTGATGTATTTTTATTTAAAAAGTTTTTAAATTTTTCCTTAAAAAAATCTGTATTATTTTAAAAAAACACTATAGTTTTAATATTCTAAAAAGAATAGTAGCCAGATATAATATCATATTATAGTTATTTCAGCTAGCTTATAGTATCAAGATTATAATAATTTATAATTATTAAATATGTATATCAAAATTCAATATTTTTACAGTTGTTTGATCTCTACAAATAAAAATATCTCTTGAAATTTAATTAAAAAAGCTAATCTACAAATAAGAATTACCTCTGCTACAAGAGTGCTGTAGAGACTCTGCACTTCGTCCAGGTTGTCCACCTTGAGGCCAGTCAGCTCCGTCCACTTGTCCAACAGTTCCTTGTTCTTCTGCAGCAGCTCGGTGTTAGGCGCACCTGCCTTGACCCTGTCGCGCTCCTCGTAATATCTCGGGCATGGTTCTCGCACCAGCAAAAGCTACAAATTATCCTCTTTAGAAAATTTCAGATGATTAAAAGTAAATTTATACATTGTCGTATTTGAGCGGGGTGGTGTGGACGGGCACCGGCTGCCACCTGAGTCCAGGTGCAAACTCCTGGTAGGTGGCTGGAGGGAACATGGCCGCGAGCACCAGTTGGGCGGTCATCAGCGACCTGTCCACGTCCGTGCTTTGGGCATGAGCGGCGCCATAGTCGTCGCCGACCAAATTATGGTAATGATCTCGCAGCCACTGGCCTTGGGCGTACACCTGACGCTTACCATTCTGTCAAAAATAAATGGATTTTTCTTCTTACTTAGGAATGACCCTTAATTTGCAAACTAGACAATTTATTGGTACTTTGAGCAAAAAATAAAAAATAATCATCCAGAAAAACTGGTTTTTAAAGAAGACCTGCAATTAAGATTTTGCTATTGGCAACGAAAGTATTTTCGTGAGCGTTAGCATATAATTAAAGGCAATAGAGATTACATTTTGCATACAGGTTGTCCTTGCAGAGTTAAAAATAATTGCCACGGAGGAAATTTTTTTCATTTTTCTCACGGTTGACTGAAGAAGATGCTCAAGAGATTAATTTTTGTTCCCTGTTAGCCTTCACGATATTTTAATGCCTGATTAAAACTTTACGTTATTACATAAATGCGAATATTTTTGTATTTAAAATATAAAAATCCTCTCAGATGGACAAAAATAATGAAGATAAATTTTAATTGAATGACACATTTTTGTCCATGCTGTTGAAGCATTTTACGAAACAAAGTCCACCTAGCAACAGACCCAAAGAATTAAAATAGTAGTGACAAGTAAAAAAATTATTTTCTTTCTGTGCGTGATCTTTGGCTTTTGACCACCGCGCGCCAATTGAATTGATGATAGCCTTTTTTGATCTCTGCCAATGTTACGACAGTTTTCAACTCAGCTACAATTTTTTTCTATTATTCTATGGAGAATAGGAGGAATAAATTCGTGAAATGAATTTTTGCACATACGCTGAAATTTAGTCAATTCTTGATTTTTTAGAAATCTCCTCTTTCAAAAGTTAAAAAATTTTATTAGTACACTGCTGCATATCAATAAAAATGAATTTTTCAACAGCTTACAGTGAATGAGGAATAACTTTTGCATTTATATAATCATTTTCTTAAATAATTTTTAAATTCCTTTTATTTTATTTTTCAATATTTTTGTTTTGAACATAAACAGAATTAAGAATAAAAATTGTTTTCAATAATTTATAATAATATTGATCAATTTATAAATTTTCAGAATGCAAAGCACTTGATGCAAGTGGCAAAATTAGTAAAATATGACTTACAATGGTTAGCTGGCCCCAACCAACAGGACTGAAGGCTTGATTAATGTGCGGATCTTTAGGATATGTATCTGCTGGTGTGCGTTCTCCATGCCGGAAGATCTAATAAAAAAATCAAATAAAAATTTGTTCAAAATATTATTTCCATGCATGACTGTTGGATTGCAAAAAATTAGCATTCAGTAGTGACGGGCGCAAATATTTACCATTCTTTAGTGCTCTGTTTTTAAAATTTTTCAGCACGACAGGAATAAAGGCTTTTTGAGAAAAGCACAAAACATGTACGGACAGATTGGGGAGTTTTTAAATATTATTAATTTTGGGAAATTTTCGCATTCAACTAATATTTTTTATTATCACAACGGGAATTTTCAAACTTTTTCACGCTGGTTTTGTCTCAAATATCATGTGTCTCGAAACGTAATTCCACATAAAGGTGATAAAGGCGATTAGTTAAAGTTACTAATTTAAATACATAGTAATAAAGGCGTTAAAAGACGAACAGATAAATCTATAAAAAAACTTGCCACTGTAAATCGGTTTTTATTGCAAATTTTCTAAGATAGAAATCTTTGTGAACGCGGAAGAGCATTTATTGTTGAAACATTTGTGCAGCAAGGAAACAGATAAATTCTCGTGTTCACTTATTGTTAATGGCAAAGTGAGCGATAATGCTACGGCAGGTATTAGATAGTGGGCTGCTGTAATGCAGTGTAAACACGGGCCTTGAGCGTTACGTCACTTTGAGCTCTCGCTGCAAAACTCGCTGCACCGCACGCGGAGAGCGAGCTTGAACATTGCAAAAAGTGAAACGCCGGTCTTGATAAAAACAAAAAATAAAAACAAACTAAACGCTCCACTTAATGTATGATTATTTAAAACGAACTTGAAAAGAGAAAGACATTTACATGCGCCTGAGGGAGGGAAGAAAACAATAATTAAGTGTGCCGATTTAGAGAGAAAGTTTTAACTTCCGATTTGCAAAAAATCTCAATTTCAGAAATTACATTAAAAGTGTATTAAATCAGTTAAAATTGTTTTTGAGAAATGATATTTTTTAACTCACCGCGTGCACTTGTCGCACGTTTCCCTCGCCAGGTTTTGGCAGCGGAAGCTCAAGCGCGGAGACCAGAGAAATTGCGAGCAGCAGGCTGCCAACGAGTGCACCTTTCGCAGGCATGGTGTCGGCGCTGTCTCGCGTCAAATGCCAACGAGCACCAAAGCTCGCCGCTCTTAAAAAGCCAACGCACGGAGTGGGGGCGAAAATCGCCGGTGCTCTGACACTGATGCTGGAGATGAGTCTGTCCGCCCGTGGACCCTTTGGAATGTGCAAAAAAACTGGTATGCAAATTCTGTTTTCTAAAACTTGCTTGCTTACAGATTTGATCCTTAATGCCTTTGAAAAAATACCTTGGACATGGTATTATTAGAATCTCTTCAAGACATGCAATATCATAAATTTTGAAGAAAATTGTTTTAAAAGTTAATCTCTCAGATACAGACCAACAATGAAAGTTGAAACCGATTGATTAAAGCAGGATTTAAGTAATTTTGCTGGGTTGATAAAAAAAATACACATATGTTATATTTTCCAACAATGAGCATTCAAAATGTCTTATAAAAATATCCAACAGAAAATTTTCATTAAGGCAACAATGAGATTTTCAGGCACAAAAACAAAACATTTTGGAGGTGTTGAACTTCTGGGAAAGTCCCATATAATGAGGCTATAGTGACTGACACCGTTGCTTTATAGTTTCTGTAAATTTTGCTTGTTAAATTAAAACCTCCCAAATTTATTTTTTGTATAAATTCCTCTCTTACTTTTAGTTTGACAAGAGAAAACCATTTTGGGGTCAGTTATCCTTTTATTTTTTCATTTTACCTTTGAAACGTGTTTGCCCGGTTTCAATTTTCACTATAATTTTTGTTTGATCATAAAAAACCGAGTTGTGAAGAAAAAGAGATTTCCCAGTACCACCTCCTTAATTGTTCTAAAAGAGTAAAATCTGTAACCGAATATGCTACACTAGATAAAGATAAAACTAAAATGTTATTATACTCAAATTTAGTTCTATTATTGATTTCAACCAGCAATACATAACGTTTTACACATTTGCGTTCAGTAAAGACAATAATAATAAATGGAGAAAAAACAAGAACAAAATGTGAAGAATTGGCAGCATATAAAGAAGCGCGTGGATTTGGCTATAAAACAAGGCTTGTAAGTTCTATTATACATAAGTTTTTAATGTTTTTCCAATCATAAAATGATTTATGTTGGTTGATGCAAGAACAATTACTAAGCAATCAAGTAAGTATATTTAATTTTTTTTTAAATAATTAATTGACCCTAAAGGCAATTATTTTCCAAATAAGCAGAGTTCTAAGCATAAAAACTTTTGATAATAATACAAGAGTTATCCATTTATTTTATGGACCGTTTGAAGTCGTAAGACGGGCTCTTGGCCTCCTTGGAACCGTAGACGCCCTGCACCCCCTTCCTGGCGGTTTTGGTGTAGTGCTAGTGAATGGAGCTTCGGTGGTAGTTAAAAGAGTTGTAGATGGAGGACCGATAGTTGTCGTGATTTCAATCGCAGGAGCGGCAGTAGAAGTTGCAGCTATTGCGGGAGCAGTTGGTGTAGTTTTAGTCGTAGGCGAAGAAGCCAAAGGCGAGGTAGTTGTGCGACGAGTTGTTATTGGAGATGTTGTAGTCGAAGGTGCTGAAGTGGTGGTGCTTGGTGGTAGTGCAGTAGTTGATGGAGTTTTTCCGTCAGAAACACTGAACCACCTAATCGCCATGTATTCTACCATTGTATTCTGGGACACAATTTTGACCTGAGACAGAATTACAAAGTTTTAAATAATTAATTTTCTAAGCATGCTCTCACCTCGTAGTTTCCAGGAAAATTAGCTCTGCTGGGCATTGGGATTTGCACGTCTTGCCAGCCAGGCCGAATTGAGGATTGGTCAAAGTTAATCAGTATTGCCTGCTGTTGTTTTTTCTCTGGTACCAAGTAGACGAAAAATTTAAAATTCGCGTTGGGATTGAAATTGGCTTGAGGAACAATTAGCAATCTCATTTTGATGACAAAGTTGATATCCATTTCAATGGCCGTCGACATTCCCATGCAAGAAGACGTTTTGGGCTGGGATACAATTACTTGTCCATTCAGCGGACCACTTTCCTGTGTCTCATATTTGGAAGCGACGTCGGTCGTCCACACTCCAGGGTTGTTATTTATTTGACATCTGGTTTCGATACCTGCGGGGATTCCTGCCGACATGTCATATAAAATGCCCATCGCGGTCGCACTAAGCGCCAAAAATATTACCGCGATCGAAACACTATTATGACTTTTCATCTTCAGTCAATTTTATCAACTGCGTGTCGTTGTTGGTTCTCCAAACAATTTATGTGAATCCAGTGGATCATAATTTGTTGTTCCTTCCGGATAAGCCCGATCCTTATCTTTCGCACTGTTAGGTTGTGACGTTCATACTTGTAAAAAACAATAGCTATTGCTGTGGGCTCTAAAAAGCTAAAAAGAAGAACCATAAAAAAAATTAAATTTTTGGAAGTTTTCTTCCATCTTTTTACTTTTGTATTGTGAATTTATCGCTGAAAATTGCAGATTAAATCATTTCTGCTCTTGTTATCTGAAAAGTTGAAATTTAGTGGAATTACAATTGAATAATAGATCGCGTTATCACGTAATAATCATATTTGAGCCTTGAGCCCAGCTTGAACCTTTCAATTAATTGATTTTTCCTTGAGATAGATGCAACAAAATTTCTTGATATCTGACATCGTAATAAAATTTAAAAAAATACTTCTGTGTACCTTGAAACACCCTCAAGTAATGTACTTCGTGTTAAAAAAAATATTAGGAAAAAACTCCTGTTTTGTTGTTAAGGAACATGATGCGATTCTTATCATGTTTTCTTATTGTGTTTTGTTATGACGTACTCTTTTAATTACTGTGACGCCAGAAAGTTATAATTTGAGACAGTTTAATCTTTGCGCCTGTACAGTTTTTAGTTTTTATGATTTTATAAGGCCCAATAAAATTGGTTCTGAAAACAATTTTTAGGATTGTCTAAAGCGTGAATCGACTCTTCTATAAAAATATTTTCTCTTGCTACTTTTTTATTAGAGAATAGTAAAAAATACATTAATGATATTAAGTTCTACTACATCAGAAATTCTTTTTCCAAACTGTAATTTTTATTTATTTAGCCGTTTCAAGTGGAACGATTAACCAAACTGCAGCTTACTGAATCACGGCCATACACTAATGAATTATCGCAGTAGTAGTTTTAAAAATTAAATTAAGTCTTTTCAGATTATAAACTAAAATTTTTGTAAATTGCCTTTTTGCCTTGTAGGGTATGAATATGAAAACAAAGAAAAGTTAATTAAATTTCTTTGAAAAACTGTTTTAAAATTAAACTGCCAAATGTTTATAAATTTTCTTTTTTTTTTGTAAAGAGATTTACTATGAAAACTTAATTATCAGAAAATAACTGGGCCATAAAAACTTTTGTGAAAAATAAAATCCTAAAACTTAATTTTCCTTATAAGTGAATCTTGAATTTTAATAGATTTATGTAATTTATTTGATTTATTTCACTAATAAACGTTATTACGAAGTGTATGCTGACGCCTGCACAACTGATTTATACTGTACCGCACAACACCGCTGTTGAGCGGGTAGCCCAAGTAGTCTATCATCTGTTTCTGAATTAGTTATTTATTTGCAATTTATGCTAAAAAAATTCTGCAGCATAATGATTCATAATGGTGACCTGCTGATGACTTAAAAAATTTATTCCTCCACATTTTTCCAAATGAAATTTTAATAAAATTTTCCCTCATTATAAATTTTTATATTCCACCAAGAGATGGCGTCACTGGTGCCTAAATTCAAATTGACACCTCCCATGCCTCCCATGCCTCATCCAGCAAAAATCAAATCAAAACAAACGCACGACGAACGATGAGGTGATTCCCAAGGTAATTCCTCTGTCGAAATATCTAGAATTTATGAAATTTCTTGCAGTGCCAGAATTTCGCAGGTCGTGCCATGAGTCGTGAAAGGTCACGTTTGTCGTAAAAACGACCACCTTAACCTGACACGATGGATTATTTCACCTCTGGCTTGCAGCGTCAAGCCAACTTCCAAATTGCAAGTTTTTATTTTCACACTCTTTTTCATACGTTTTCAATTTCAGTTTTAATTTTATTTCTAGAGCGACTGCTCGCAGAATTTTTTGCAGAGAATTTCAAACCTCTGCGGCAGCTACGAGATGAGCGACGTGACGCTGGTGGTCGGTGGCACCGAATATCCTGCTCACCGCCTTCTTCTTTGCCTCTCCAGTGAAGTTTTCAGGGTAAGAAAGCTGAACAAAAACCAAACACATAAAAAAATCTAATTTTTCTAAAAGTTAAATGTTCATTTTTCTTGTTTAGTGTTGTATTTTAAATATATTTCGTTTGATTTTGTTAATAATTAAAATTTTGTGTGCAGGTCATGCTCATGAACAAAGAATGGAACGAAGCCCAGGAAAGAAAAGTGGTTCTGCAGGAGTCTACGCAGTGCTGCAAACACTTTCATAAGTTCCTAGCCTTCTTCTATCGAGGCAAAATCTGCATTTCGGTGGACGATTGCCTACCCATCCTCTGCCTTGCCGACAAGTACAATGTGAAGGTTCGAAGATAATTTTTTTATAAAAAATTTTTAAAGTAACGAAAAAATGTTTTTTCAGGAATTAAGTGCCACTTGTTTGGAATATATGTGTCTGCACATAGCCTACGCTGCCACCAATAGCATTCTGCTCTCTTGGATGCAGTACACAAACTGCTGCGGACACACTGCCGCTGCTCAGGTAACCATTAAATTCTTGATTAAATTTTCATTTTGTAAACCATAATTCCACTATCAGGCTTGCCAGAACTTTGTGCTATGGAACTTCTCCACTGTAGCTCGCGCTGATGACTTTTGCTACCTTGAACTAGAGTCGATCATTTCCATTCTGCAGCAAAATGATCTCGTCGTAAAAGATGAACTAGAGCTTTACAGGTGCAATTTAATTGTTATAACTAACTAAAATGGGTTATATTATACAATTTTTGTGTGAAATTTATCTAGAATTAGAATAATTTAGTTTTTTTTTGTTATTTCAAAATTTGGTTTTTCTTCCTGTAAAACATATTCAGTTTCATTTGGTTTCATTTATGGAAAAACTTCACATTCCTCTAATTGCTATAAGGTTCTAATTTATTGATACTTTTTGGGAGGAAAATTAAAAAACTTTAAGAATGAAAAAGATTGTTAGTGATAATAATAGCAGAAACTTAAAAAAAAAGCAAAATGATAAATTATTTCAGACTCGTGATATACTGGCTGGAGCTGCAAAAGCTTCGTCTGGCTGAATCGGACTTAGATACTGAGGAAACATTAGCATCATACACTCAGGCAACAATGAAGTGCATTCGCTTCCCCATGATGACACCAAGGCAACTGGCGGATCTGCTGCTGCAGAATGAAGTCAAAAAGTACAAAGAATTTTTCGTCGACCGGCTGGCCCTAGGGATGGCTTTTCACTCTGATGAGAAGCAGCAGTAAGAAATAATGGCAAATTTTTTACTTAATTCACTTAATCAAATTTTAATCTTCTAGATTAGCCAAGCTAATGGAAGGAGAGTCAGAGCTAATGTTGGTGCCGCGAATTTACACAGCAGACACTTGGAGCTCAGTGGTGGTCATCGAGAAGTACTCGGACATCCAGTCATATCACACAAGCACCCTGGTCTTCTCTATACCTGCCTCTTTTTCTGAATGCAACCAGAGTAGTCACATTGAGTGGGTTGTTGACTTTTACCCACGAGGTTTGTGGTACCCCAAGGGTCTGCTTATCACCTGGGAGGGCACTAAGGAGGTGCCGGAGGCTGTGCTCAAAACTTGCAGACTTTCCATCACCTGCCGGGACCCTGAGACTTTAGAACGCAATCACTTCCATGCCAAAATCGGTGTCCTTGTAAGTGTACAAGATCACAATGTGAAATTTTTAGCTAAAATTTCTTTTTTTAAAGGTTAGCGGAATGAGTGCCGGAATCGAACATGTGGCCAATGTTGTTTACAAACACCACTACTTTGACAGGGGCAATAGTGTGCTGCACCTGGACGATGTTCTGCCTTATGAGAAGTTGCTGAGAAGCAAGTTTTTAGTAGGTGAACATTTGGATACGCTCAAACTCAGAATTGTGATCCAACCACTTGATGATGTCGTCAGATAGTGCATTTCCATTCAAACAAAGTCACCTTGTGTATTTTCTACTGAAATAAACACTAAATCTATACCAAATAAACGTTTTAACTTAAAATCTTATTTAAACATCTCAGCAAATGTGGCAAGAAATTACTATTTTAAACTGGAATGTATATATTTCAATAATTCAAATAATTTATTTGTAAGAAGCAGGCTAAGCATTGCTTCAATGCAACGCGCGTAGCATTACAAAGTTACGGACCGTGACATCATTAAGTTATTTGACTTTCAGATTGAAGAGTCTCTTTGGCAGGTCATTTGATTTCAATAGTAACATAGATTTGAAGCACGTGCGGATGGACTGTCGCACATTTTACATGACTTGTTTGTATTCTTACATTAGGCTGATCACCGATTGACGTTTTTGTTATCAGTAGAAAAATTGCCTCAAGATAATCTATTTTTATCCAATAAAGTCACCGCGTGATTCTCAAAACGATCAGTTTTCTAATTAATGAAGGAAAAAACTAAATACCAAGAAATACGACGAGATAGAAGATTGTCAAAAAAATTGGCACCAGAGCGCTGTGATCTCATTACAGCCGAGGAAAATGTGGTGTTTTTGGGCGGGCAAAAACTTATTTTTCCAGGGCTGCGGTTAATGGTGTAAAATGATCTGGTGCGGGGGTTGCAGTCTGGCCGTATGCTGCGGACGGTCCGGGGGGCGACGCTGTTCTTTCTTTCTTTCTCCCCAGCAGCAGTAATGGAGATGATTAATCTAAAGGGCGCCGCACTGGTGCGGCCAACGAGACACAACAGCGACCAAGACGGCGCCCTGCGCGTGGCCCAGAGCGGGCGCCAGTTCTGCAGGCGCCTCTGCCCTGCTTGCGCTGCTGCCCCCTGCGCTCACCCTCTTTTTATGCGCCCCCGACGTCGCCACACCACTGCCGCCGCCGGTTCGGTCGCCGCGTCTCCTAGCTCGTGTGTCAGAAAAGAAGAAACGACGCCGAGAGCCTTTGCCCCCATACTCTCGGATATTCGCTCTCTGCTCACATATAAAATAAGCAGCAGTGAAATATTGGCTCGCGGATGCTGTGCCACCAGGCTGGCGTCTCCGATGCAGAGTGCAGGCACCGTTGAGGCGGCAAGTCAAGTCGGAGACTGAGCCCTCCGTCGATCGCCAAAAGCCATAAGTCTAATTCCGCTGCAACACAATGATATTAAAAAAATTTGTTACACAAAAGAATAAATCTCTTCAACTTTTATTGAAAGTAGGATGAATTTGAAAACTTGCTTTTTTATTATATATTTTTAAGGATTAAAGAAAAATAAATATTTAAGGATCATTGAATTAGATTGAGCCATTTATTTTAATAAAATTTATTTTACTGTGTAATAAAATTTCAACTAGTTTATTTTTTATTAACCAACAGATTAAAAATGGAGAGCGAGGAAAGGAAGCATCTACTTACTCTGCCCTTAATATTTTTCTGCTGGTTCTCGTTCAGTCTCATTAATTGCAAAAGGGCCCGAGCACCATAAATCTTTGTCAAATTCAATACTTTTTGCGCCGTCACTTATTGAGCGAATCCATTTGTCAAAACTATACGGCTGATTGTGTTTCAGACGAGTTAATAAAACAATTATGCCGCCGACGACAGACCATCGACGCCGCGTGATTGATGAGGGACTGAACCGAGGGCCAACGAGACCCAAACCGAAAGTGCTTTTTTTTTTGCTCTGCGCTTAAATCCAAAGCTTTCACAACAATCAACAATACGCAGATTGTAATGATTGTACAAGAATTTTTGAGCTTTTAGCAACTTCTAGGACCAGTGTGATTAGAATAAGAATGAAAAAAAAACGTAATTAGTTTTTTTATTATTATTAAAAAGTTGCGTTAAATCACGTTAAATAAATATTAAATTTTGTCCAAATATTTCAATCATATCTTTGTCTTCTGAAGGTTTTTTTATAATACTGTTTGAATAAGTAAACATATCGGTCAGTTAGAGGGTGAGAATACAATGTAAAGATTGTCATGAGAACGAATATGGCCAGGGACAACTTCAAGACAGGTAAAATTGTTTCCAAGTCGATCTCTCTAATAGTTTCAATAGTTGATTCCCACATTCCTGGCAGCGGTTTTGGACATGGTCGAGTCAGTCTGCAGAAAATTCCATATGGATTTTCTAGGTTAAAAAGCAAAGGATAGAAACAAAATTAAACTCAGTTAAAAAATTAAAAGTAAAAATTTTCTACATGTAGCCTAAAATTATAAATAAATATGAAAATGGTCTGCTCAATAAAAAAAACCTTATGTTAAGGGATTCACAAAAAAGACGAAAAAAATTTGGGGAAAATTTTTGCTGACTGAAAATGTTTCTTACTGCTGTAGAATTTTACGAGAGTCTGTAGGGTTAGGAAGGGTTGATTGTCCACGATGTAAAACTGTGCCTTGGCGGGGATCGCTATGATTTCGTAGTGCCTGACTTGGTCAACCTTTTCCCTCACGCTCAACACATAGTTTTTTGGGTTCAATGTAGACTTTCTGATAAGGAACGTTCCGCGGGGATTGCCGTCCGTTAGCAACAAATTTACCGCTTCTTCCTTACTAGTGTGGCCAAAGAACCAACTAAAAAAAAGCCAATTTAAAATATTTGTATTGGAAACTAATGATTCCAATCATTATTACACTTCGCCTTTGATCACATTTTGCTCGTCATCGACAAAGTTGGAAGGGACGTGTCCCACTTGTTTGGTCCTCAAGTTTCGAGCAAACCACCAGTTTTTACTGAAACATACAAAAATAGGGTAACTTGTAATTATTTGTACATTTTAATTGTGCCTGTTTAATTACACAAAATTGAAATTGACAATTAAACATTATAATTTCCTTGTAAATTTTTTAACTTAACTTTTAAACAATCTTACTTTTATGCGCAATAATTTTATATTGACAACAGATTTTGGTATCTCAAAAAGGTTTAATAACAAAATTAAAAATTTTATATATTTTAATTAAATCGGATAAGATCCATGAATAAAAACGAACTTATAAAATAAATTTAAGACTGGAAAAAATCTAATATAAATACACTGCAGTCATTTTTAACTCACTTGGATTCCCTAAAGATGACCATCTTGTCACCCTCTTTGAATGAAATGCCCCAAGCATATTGTGTGGCTTTGAAATCGTACAAGGCGAGCACCAACTTATATATTTTTGGCTTTGCAACTTGCGCATGAGGATTCCGTATGATATCTATAAGCCGAAGTTTAAAAATGCGATTAAGAAAAGCAATAAAAGATGTTCAATTATAATACAATTCACTGGAGAAAGAATAGAACCTGCCGGAGCGTGGTCGTATAAGTTAGTACCACTTCCTTGTTGCACAGAACCTGAGATGAAAATAATTATGTTAATTATGTATTATAAATCATGCCAATTTTATTTAACTTTCAATTTAAGTATGTACTTAGGGCACAATGAATTCGCATATTTTACCTGAAATTTTAGATTGATTCATATTTTGCTTTCTATGGCAACAATAATTCATTTAAATTTTGATGTTGAGAACTCTATGCACTAAAATATACTAAAATTTATGAACACACCAAGGAAATAAACGGCCAAGAAATTGCGCCTTAAAATTATCTCGAGCCTTTTGCGGTCGCGGCCTATCGCCTGCATTTGATTAAAAGTTTCAATCCACAATAACCATACTATAACCAAGAAAATATCGCACATAATCCATCCCAAATCGCAGAGGGAATTCCATATGATATTTCAGCTATGGTCTATGGCCATTAGAAAAAACTCAAGATTTTTAAATGTATTTTAATATAAAAAGATTTAAGTTTTAAAAAAGTGCTTTACAAAATTTTGAATACATGATTGATGATTGCGTTATTTTCCAAGTTGAAAATAATTTTCGAAATAAATAAATTACACGTCGATTGGATTTCTTAATTAATCTATTTTATTTTCAATTATAATTCATAATGTTTTTCAACTAATTTTTGTCCCATTAAATTGCACAGAGTGATATACAAGAGAACTTTGTAAATTTTGAATGCGAACATATATCAACATATAATGCATATAATTGTATTTTTTTGTAAATATTTCGAATGAAAAGAATAAAAATACCGCAATGGGAGCAAATCTTCCTCGAAATGATTTGTGTGTATCCCCCCGCAGTCGGCATGTTTTATGTTGTGAAAAAGTGGCCGGACGAAAAAGCATGCGGGGCGGCGGCGCCTCGATCGTCGTCATCATCATTAGAGGTTGGCGGCTTTGACGTTGGCAAAGACCCAGAGCTGCAGAGTTAGAGGGAGAGAACGTGGCGGCCGTCAACGCGGCGCTTCGCGGGTCCGGACGGGGCGCCCGTCAAGGCGCCTCTTCCTCGGTAAACACGTTGGCTGCATGCGGCACAAACACACACAATATTAAATAAATGGCTAACCTAAATAGTGTTATGGTGAAAATATGGCTCAGCAGGGGCTCTACTTTGTAAATAAACATATAGTCAAACTGTTTGTGTCTCGAGTTTATGCTATAAATGCCCTGGTTGTAAGTTTGCATTAATCATTGCATTTTATGTATTTATCTCGCTTCAGCACCTAACTTGATACGCAAACCCATTATTTATTACACCGATCTATAATCGGCTAGACTCTGGCCCTTTCCAAAAGAAGTTTAAAACAACAACAATAACGGTTGAAAGATTTTTTTGCGTAGGAAATATGAGAAATTTTAAAAGCTGCATTATTAATGTTTTCCTAAAAGAAAAAATTATTATGCTTAATGATAAGAATAATATATTCATAGCTGCACTATTTTTTGTTTATTTAAATTGAATAGAAATTAAAATTAAAAATTGAAAACATAGAAGCAAAAATTTTTTTATAAAAAATATTTTATATCTGTATTCATTGAAACATATCATATCTTAAGAATAATGGACGTAAAAATACAATTATTCCAATTATTTGAATTATTGATACATTCGAAAATTGCTAGGTATAATTTTTATATTTATTAGTTAACAATATTTTTTAGTTGCATGAGAGGATGTCACATTCAGAATGAGTCAGAATGATTTTTTATTTATAAAAAAATTTTGTTCAAACTTTGTTACTTTTTTATTTGAAAATTTATACAAAAATCTTTTAGAGTCTTATTTTATGAAAAGCAAAAAAACAGAAAAATGAAAAAAAGCCAATAATTAAATAAAGTATTAAATAATAATAAAATATAATTTTTATAAACTTGTTTTTAACAATATTTCTTTATTTATGTTAGTAATTTCAAATAGTTTCCTCTTTTGTTTAATCCGGCTTATTTCCTGTCAGACAAAAATTGAGGAAAAGCCGCATTATTCCAACGAATCTGTTCTGTCTGTGTATAATTGCGAGGGAGAGAGACAGTTTTTCGACCAGAGGAAAATAATAGAAATAATGCTCGCGGTCGGAATGAGATCGGAAGATGCCCTGCTTGTTATTGTTTCAGCGCGGAGTGCGTTGGCGCCACTCGGCTCCAGGCAAATGACACGCTCTCGCTCATAAGGACGGTGCAGCCTGCACGACCCTCCACTCGCGGTGCAACGATTTTCAAATTATACCCATCCGACGGACGGACCATTCGAGTGTAATAACAGGCCTCGGTGTCTGCGCGGCGTCCATATCACACACACAAGAAAGAGATGAGATGCGGTCTGGAGACGAAAACAATTTTTATTATTTTTATGTCGCGCCGCCGATGCGCGCCTTAATGATACATTCGAAAATATTATTATCACCATTGCCGCAGACGGCCGCCGAGTTGACGTTCCCGCGAGACGCCAGTTAATCTCACGTCTGCGCCACCCCAGAATTAGATTATATGTGTGGAGGGTTCTTCAAGATCTCTCTATTTAAAGTCATGCAGACCCACTTCACATTGACTTTTAAAGAAAAATCAAATGCAGTTGTCTGTTTAAAAGAATTTATTTTGTTTTAAATTGAAAGAATTGAACAGATGTTAAAGAAAAGAATTCTAAATAATTAGAATTGATAAGAAAATGCAATCCAATTTTGGCTTTTGCTATCAAATAGCTCTCCTAAAAGCATATCTATAGAAATTAAATTATTTTTTGAAAGATAGATTCAAAAAGTGTAATAGAAGCTTAAAAAATTCTCTCTTTTTAAACAATTTTTAATTTTAAATTAATAATCCGGTTCTATTTTAAAAAACTGAATTCCACAATCATAGATCAAATATCAAAAGTCAAAAAGTGGTAAGCCGTATGTGACCAAAAGCTTCTCACAAAAGTTTAATTGATATGAACTTTAAAAAAATTTGTTTCTATATTTAATTGATGTTAATTAATTCAATTACGTTGGCATTAATTACGTAATTATCGCTGTTACTATGCTGAAAGTGGAGGTTTGACATTATTAATCTTGGAGAATTGTGGTGACGAGAGATAAGCGAAGAAGAAGCAATAAAGCTCCAATTCCAGCTCAACCCAAATCGCCTTTTGACCCCACGTTGCCCTCACGTTGCTTCCACACTTAAAATTCTAGGAAAACTGCTCATCAACGAGATATGGAAATAAAATTTTGCTTATGCCAAGAGTGTGTTGATATAATTAACAGCAGCTTGAAATGGGCAAGAAATCGGTCATGCAGCAAGCGTGAAGCATTTGGTACTCACAGTCGGCTCCGTACTTCTGAGAAAAAGTAAAAGGTATAATATATCCAGCAAGTGCAGGGGATAAATCAATTTGCAACTCTAGGACGCATTACATACTTGAACTGAATCGTAAATATCTTGTCTCGGCGGCGCATCTTCTCTCCAAAGAACATAATATTGAAGATTAAACGTGAGTCGCGCTGTAAATTATCGACGCACAGAATTGATTAATAGAAAAAGAGCATCTAGGCAATAGTGGCGCAAGAAAATGAATGAAGAACTGATTCACTCTGCAGGCTTTGATGCAACAATGGCAGAAAAATTTATCCCTGCGGAGAAACACGTATACAATGTTGATGACAAGAAGCAATATAGGTGCAGGATATTTTGGTCTAGACGCGTATACCCTCCAAGAGTTTTTTTTTTTTAAAAAACGTACAGAATCAATGATTAAAATAAATAAAATATCTGATAAAAAATTTATTGTTTTCAAATATAACATTTTAATTTCAATTTCACAAGACTTTTTTAATGAAAAAAAAATCAATTTCTTGAAATGCATTTTCAATTTGAAATGATTGGTTTTTAATTTTTCTCTCTTTATTGCCATGAAAAATTTTTTTTTTTTATTCACATATCACTGGAAATTCACTGCATTAAATTTATGCACCCAAAATTATTAAAAAATATCAAAATGACTATGTATGCCATTAACATATCTTTTGCACATCTTACAAGACATTTAAATAATTTTCAACGGAATTAATAATGTATCACAGTTTGGCCTGAAACTAACACAATTATGAAATTTTCGAGGCATAAAAATCAATGTACAGAAAAATTACCTGGCATAATATTAGCCTTTTATTTAATGTTGAAAGTTTAGGCTTAGATCTGCTTATTCTAGGTATGCATGTTGGTCAGGACTCAGGATGTGTTAAGAAAACAAAATTTGGTGGACAAGTTAAATGGTTGCGTTTTGTTGACAACATTTATAATAAAGGTGAATTATCGCATTAATTTAATTATCCGCTAATGAGCAAGCGATGCGTAACGAGTGAGACAATCTCTGTGTCGCGATTTATATTTATTTCCTCGCTGTGCCATCCAGCAGCAGCGGCACGATCGAAGCTAGTCTGTAATTTTTTTCTTGTCCAATTATATATTGCAGCCTTGTGCGAATTAAACGCGCTGTGTATGCCGCGCGTGATTTCTCTCACACCCTGTATCTCGCGTTGTTTACTTTTTCTGCTGTCACCAACACATGCAGCATATTGAATTGTGTGTGTGTAACTGCACATATTGGATATTCAGATATGGAGAGGAGGAGTAGGGATAATTACAAATAATCGAGATGATCGCGCCGAGAAAACAATAAAATTACAATTGCGGAGCTGCAAAAGCGACAGGCGTTGCTCAAGGCCTGCGGTTCACACTTATTATATTAGTTTTGAGATTGAAAACTCATTCATTATTGAATTCAATTATACTTTTGCTCGGTATAGTGTCTCATTAAAATGTCAAATGCAAACAATTAAATATTATTTTAGTAATGAATAACAACGTTTTGGTAAAAATATTAAAAAAAAGGTAATTTTTTTAAACCATAATTCAATTCACCTAAATTAAAAAAATAATATCAAAACTTTATAAAAATATTTGATTAAATACAATTTTAAAAAAAGTTTCAATTTATAATTGTGTTAAAAAGTAGCAATATTATTTGGTTTTTGTATTAATCTTAAGTTTTATACTTTGGTAAATATATAAATCCATATAAATGTCTAAATAAATAAAACAAAATCTAATATTAAATAAAAATATCTAATTGAATGTTGATTCAGTTTGAGAAAATCTATTTTATAATTTAATGCATAATATTCATATATGTCATTTTCGGCTTGTGACACTTTTACGTTGAATTCAAATAATGTTTTCTTTTGGTTTACTTTTAAGGTCAGGTAAACAAATCAATCAGTAATGTGTCCTGCGTGATCTTCTGGCACAGCGTGCGAATTTTTTCACACTTGGCACTGACTCGTGGCAAGACTATTTTGTTATCGAGAAGAGACGCGTAAGTATCAACACACAAAGAGCATGTGACTTTTGGTGGGTCGCAACTCGCGGCCCTTGACTATTGCCGAGGAGCGAGGAACTGCACTTGCGGAGCCAACAAAGAGCATTACGTATTTTGAATTGAAACACAATGCCTCAAAAACCAATTTCATTACAAATAAATAAATCAGGCATTACATAAAAAAAATTCTCAAAATAAAAAAAAAATCCCAAAAATTTACAATTTTTTGTTTGCTCTTATGAAAACGGAACGCAGAAAAATAAAAAAATAAATATAGCAACATAACAAATACAGCAATATAAATAAACGTAAAATATATTTTGGGATTGCTGAAACATTGCATTAACAAGATTGCTATAATGTTTGTTCACAATTTAATAACTTTTGATGCAATTTAACTATCATCCACAGAACTAAGATCTGCAAACTTATTTTAAGCAATTTTATTTTGAAAATGTGCAAAGAAAACCTACAGTTACATGCATACGTGAAGTACGATACGCCTCGGAATCAGTTCAATTTAAATGAGTTTTATAGAATACATATTGCAATAGTTAATTTTTTTAATTTCCTTTATTTATTTTTAATATTAGCAGAAATTTCAATATTTTTCTCTCGTTTTCAGGGTGATTTTAAGATTTTTTTTTTCTATTATTCCTTATTGAAGTTGTCTTAGATCAAAACAGTGGATAACATCAACGAAGCTTGAAATTTTCTAATTGAAGAAAAAAATAAAACTAATTTTACAAATAACTTATTGTAAAAAATTTTCAGCGTGGTTCTCGCGCCGCACAATATTAATTTTGCTTTCGGCGTGAAGGTGTCGCTCGAGCTCAGCTGACGGAGTCGTGGCCATGAATGGGCGAGTCCATAGCACGGCGGACGTGCTTAGCTGTCGGAAAAGAACTCACGGCGGCGCCGAAGCAGGGGTGGGGGAGGGGGAGCGCCTGGCTGGCGGCGGCCGAGAAGAGGGAAGAGGGCCAGTCGAAGACAGGCAGACCGCGGAGAAAGACCTCGAGCACCAGAGAGAGATTGAGTGTGTGTCCCGGTGCGCGCGCGTTCGTGACCGCAAGCGAGAGTTAGCAGAGCAAGAAGTTGAGGAATGCGTCGGGGTGTGACGCGGCGTTGAAATCCGCAACGGCCTCCGCAGCGCGATGCCGCGGCACCCGAGGAGACGCAGCGAGTGAGGCGCCGCCGCCCGATGGTGGTGCGCTGCGGCGTGCGTTCATGTTCATGTTTCGCCGCAAACGCGCGCAACTGACGCAACGCTTGCTCAAGGCGGCCCGTCTCAACGCAGCGGACGAGCCCAGCGATGCGCACCTGCTGCAGACGCACGTGCTCGCGCAGCTGGGCGACGCGCAGCTGCAGCAGCTGCTGCGCGTCGTCGAACGCGTTGACGCGCGAACCTGCTGCGTGCCGCTGCCCCGCGCTCGGCGCCAACAGCACGTCGACGCGGCGTCGACGTACGCGTGCTGCTGCAGCGCCGGCGAGTCGCCGCCTCCGCCTGGCGCCACTCGGACGCCCTCCGCGGCTCCGACGGACCCGCCGCCGCCGCACGTGCTGTGTTGCCAGACCTACCGATGGCCGCAACTGGCGCCCGACGCTCAGCTCAAACGCCTGCCCCAGTGCACCTGTGATGATGACCACCTCGACTGCTGCAACCCCTTCCACTGGAGCAAAGTCTGCGGACCAGGTCAGTTACCCCTGCCCCCTGCCTGCACCACTAACCCCCATTGGCACACATTGTTTTCTCATGTGTTGTTGTTTTTACTTAATTTTTATTAATTAATTATATTAGACGCAAATTCAATTTAATTTAATTAAAAAAAAGTTGCTTTGGAAATTCTGAAAATTAGATTGTAATCTGTATTATTTACATTCAATTTTCAGCGACAAACGGTTTGAATTAAATTTAAATGTAACAAAAAATATAATTCAAATATCAAATAATTTATAATATTTAAATTTTAACGGAAATTTTTATGGAATTGGCATCAAATCAATAATACCCAAAACAACCGAACAAAAGCGAGACGACGAAAAAAATTGTGATCATAAATTTCGAAAGCCTTTCGATTTGCAACAATATTAATGAATTTGAAATAACTATAAATGCAGCGAACAGCGATTTATTCAAATTTTAGAAGCAAAGTAAGGTGTGAATAATTACAACAATTGATTTTGTATTTGGGGAGGAACCTTATTTGAAATTATTTTGTCTATTTGATGACCAATCTTTTTATTAGCAAAGTATTAAGGTATATTAATTTTGCTATTACACTGAACTCCATCTAGATTTCTTATTTTTTTATTTAACTTTCCCACGGACATCAGTTGTCATTTACAGAATTTAAGTTATTTTTTTTTTCAAATTGACGATGTGCAAATTATTCTCCCATCTTGCTAGAACAGATTTTATTAAATGGGATTTGATTGTAAATTATCAATGTCATGGTTTCTCAAGTTATCTCATGACCAATTTTTTTAATTTGCCAAGTGGCTCAAGGGTCATGACGTGTTTTTTCGCTGTCCGTCATTGTTCTTGTTCCAAGTTTGAAGTATTTGGTCTGCTTTTAGCCTGCAGTAGCGGCAGGCTGGCGGGCGTCTTGAAAATAAACTCGTGCCAAGAATGAATTTAATTAGATAAACACAGAAATGAAAAAAATAGATCAGACCCCAAGTAAAACACTTCTCGTTTCACGTCTGAATGTAATTTAATAATGTCTGAAATATTTAATAAAATTGCAAATCTTCCAAAATCTCATTCAATTTGAAGTTAATTCAACCCTTTTTTAAGGCGTGGAAATCAGTTTCATTTTAATGTTGTTGCTTTTTGAAAAAGAGTGTTTTGTGGCTTTGAAAAAATCCCTATTTGAAGATTTGACTAATATTTGCCAGTTTGATCTGATTGAGAGGGAAAAAGGCATCCAGTGTTGCTCTTTTCTGCAGAAGCATAGCCGTGTATGTGTATTCGTTTATCTTTTGCAGTGCGTCGCGCCAATTAAGATAACACTAAGGCACTGCCTGGCGTCAAGGATGGCGCATATAATTGATTTAATGCACGTGTCAGCGTCGCCAAGATAAACCGTCGTCGCGCGCGCGAATCGACCGGAGTAAAAAATATATAAAAAGCAACGTGGCTATATCGGAAGATGACAGAGAGCAAAATCACCGTGACCGTTGAACTGCCCAGCAATTAAATACAGTTATTAAATTGCGTGAGATAATTTCCAAAATTAGATTGCACAAGACAATTCGTAGGATACGATTTTAAATTTGTTTCCGCTCTCATTATTTTATGCATTTTTTTTATTTAATTAAAATATAAATTTATTTTTATAAAAAAAATTACATTATTTGTTCATTAAAAACAAGAAGTTAGCAGTTTTTTTTTTTCAAATTTTCTGCACCGTGACGGAATTTGCCAACGCCTTCCCTTCATTCCGACTCCTTATTTGCCAAAGTTAATGAACTCTTTAGCACCCGGCGTGTGGTTGTGAAAATCACGAGTTGGTTTTGCTCTTTTCCACGGCTGATGAGGACTCGCGACGCCGCGCTCCAGGAGGGACGGCGCCAAGAGTGAAATTAAAAGCAGGTGATTGGCCAGACAATCACTTCCCTAACCCAAAATGATGTCATGTGCGAGCCGCCGCCGTCGCCGCTCAAGATCAAACGCCGGCGCGCGCGAGCGTTAAATGCAAATGTGTTTATTTATTTATTGCGAAAGCGGCCGTAATTATACGACCCTTTTTATTGCCGGCCGCGGTGACATTCTTATTGCCGAGCAAAGTAATTCAGAATCAATTACATGTATGCGAAAGAGTGGGGAAGGCGTCGCAAAAAACAAAAAAATTGACGGGCGTGGCAAATGCAAATTGTCCGCACAACACGAAAAGTCGGCATTGATCAAGCAACATCTTGTTCGAAAAAATTGAGAAAAAAATGTGCATGATAAATAATGCATACAAAAACGTCGAATCTTTATATCTTATTCACATGAGTCGTAGATCTGTAAATAAAAATACATAAAAACACGCAAATATAGCCATATTTTAAATTCATGCTTTTTTTACCTGAAAATGTAAAGAAAATCATTGAAATAATTTTTAGCCTCCAACTGAAACCTCATATATTTTTGTTGTTGTTAAAAATTTAATTCTTGAAGGGTTCTCCATTAAAAAAGTTGGGCTCAAAAAAATTGTATAATTGTCTTGTTTTGTGAGATTAGGCAATTAGCAAAACCTCTACAAGGTTGTTTTCTATTGCATACTTTTCATTTTGTTTCACACATATTTTTATGGGAAAATGACAAGCTCAGTAAATTGGCAAAATTTAGATCTCTGAAGAGTATATCGTTGAGTTTTACTACTTTAATTTAAATTGGTAATTTAAACCATTATTATATAATATAAATGTATATATTTTTTTTATATTTAAAATCATATTATTTATTGATTTCCTATACAAAATAATATCTATCCATTATCAATATAACAAAAAATATTGTTTTAGTGCAAGGTGAGGAATTTTATAAACAAAAAATTAATACCTTCTATGAAAAGGTACTGTAATGGTGGCTTTTAAAACCACTTTCAGACTGAACTTTTGTAATTCGTGCCTCACTTGGGATTGAATGAAAACCCACTGGGCGAAAGGAGGCCTCAGCACGTTTAGCGCACCTCTCTCTGCATATTATGGTGAATGAAAATTTGCACGTTAGCCTTTCGCGGCGGCGGCGGCGGGTCCATTCAGGAAGCGACTTGGCACCGTTGGTCGGCGCGGCCAGTCGGTCGGTTCGGCTCCGAAAACTGCGACCCTGGGGTCAAGGGCTGGCTGCGTTTGTGTGTATGTGAGTGCGCGAGGTGACACTCTTTCTCTTTTTCTCGCGCGCCATCAATGGTGGGGAAGCGCGCGAATATTTATTTTTACAATCCATTAGCGAGCGGCCCAAGAGGATAATAAATTTTCCCGATTTGAATTGAAAATAAAAATTGCGTCGTTGTAAGTCGGCCGCGCGACCACTCCTCTCCCAAATATCAAACGCTGCGATCGAAATCATTGATTTTCCAGCCAGCTCGGAGACGGATCGATCGCCAATCAAACCTTTCACATTCAACGACAAAACACACTTTATGGCCCTTTTAAAAGAGAATCGTCAATTTTAAAGGCTTGTTTGGGTGATAAGCTTTAAAGTGACACTTTTCATTTCGCCAAATTTGGAGGCGAACTTTTTAATGGGTGCGTTTCATTCACACATTTTATGATCGTCGCGGATTTTCTCCTTGTTTGGAGCGATTTTTTTAATTTCATTCAACGCCAGTCTTGTGCCGATTCATTCAGCGCAGCATCCGCGGGCCTGTTGCTGCTCCCGCGAGCAGAATTTGTGCACAAGTGCGGAATTGCAACAGGTGCACGCGCTCTCGCAGGCTGACGGCGCTTTTTTCGCACACAACCCACGTGGGCGAACAGGTTTCGCGAACTTTTAGAACTTCCGAAACTCATAGGCATTGGGACTGAATGGTCTTTTTTTAGCTGCGGGAATACTTTATATAAATATTTAATTAAATGAAATTTGGGTAAAGCTTATATAAAATAATATAATTCAACAATAAATTCAGATTTTACCCCTTGTCAGTCAAATCAAGTCTTTGTTACAATAGAAACGGAGACAATTAATTTTACTTCAATATTGTGAAGACTCAATTTGAAAATGCAACAAGCATAAGTCTCAATGTAAACTATCTATTTATTCTAATTTACACAAGTAAGGGTTTCTTAAGTTACAATTACAAATTTATTTTTGGTTTATATTTTCAAAAATTTACATTTCCTTGACATACTTTTCAGAGTCAACATTTATGCACCTCGGCCAAGCTTTTCAAGCATTAAATAAATAAAACATGGTGCCTGTTTACAAAATTATTTTTGCGTTAATCATTGCGGAATCAAAAATAAACAATTCAATGATCTGTTGCATTATTGAATCACAATAGTTCTGCAAAGGAGGAGATTTTCATTCAGTAAAATCTCCTAAAACTTCACATCATTTAGACCAGCCTAAACAGCCAGGGAAAACCAACTGTGTTCTTCTAATTCTCTCAAACAGGCGGGTAAAAAATTTTCCCACCGTCGTCGCCGCATGACAGACGAGCGTGAAAAACGGCGGCACCCACTACCGGCGCTGCGCTAAAATTCCTTTTTTCTCTCCCAGGGGATGCAGACGGGCCAAGCAAAGAAAGAAATAAAACGTCTCTCTTCCTTTGTAAGTCCGAATATAAAAATGTCTCTTGTTTTCCTTCCCGTGGCGCTTGTTTTCAATTTCGAAATATATTCAGGGTGGGTGTCTGGGTCGGTTGACCGGTGGGTCGGTTAGGTCGAAGAGGCGCCGTGTGCTCTCTCGGTGCTTGAGGCGTCGCGGGTACGCGGGCGAGAGGGGAGAGGCGCCGTGCTGTCGCCGAGAGGGGAGGCGCAGGTGAAGGAAGAGGCAGCACAACAATAATGCAACTCGGCCCGACCGACCGACGCAGCCAGGCGCCACCGAGACTTTTTCTTTCCGCCGCCTCTCTCATATTTTTAGAGATAAAAGAGCAGCCGTCGCCATTCATACATACACAACGCTTAATTAGACAGACCTAGCTGGCCCACTGCCCTTGTCCTGCCTGCATGGGGTATCAAAATTTAATGTCATGAAAAAACGGTTCAAGTCCAAGTAAAAAGATTAAGTCCACTCCATATAGTTCATGCAATGAACAAACCAAGACTGAGGAGGCCTTTCGAAAAAAAAAATGGATTTTCGTATAATTTAAGGAACGAAATTTTTTTTTTAATTTAAATTTATATTAATATTGGTACTGTAGACATGTGTTATTGCAAAATTCTACATCTATTTAAGAAATTTAAGAAAGAGTTGATTTTTTAATTTGATTTCCATTGAATCTAAAGTTAACAAGGGTTTTGTTAGGACTTTGAACCAGCATCACAATAATTGTATAATTTTAAGATAAAATCTTAATTGGACGTTTTTTTTATTTAACTTAAATTTCAACCAAGGTTCATTTGCGTCTTTGAGATTATTTAATCAGGACATAAAATTTGAATTTGTTACAATGCCAGACTGAAGTGCTGTCTGAAATCACCAGGCTATTTTTGCCGTTTCCGCAGATAAAGAAGTTCGACCGATTCAGTTTTTTTCTGTGAAAACTTGTCGATAAGCAGATTACAAGAAGATAAACTCATTTGACGTTGATTCAGTAATCAAAGGTCGATTCTTTTTAACAAGACTTAATACGTGCTGATTAGCAAGGAGTGCAAAATCACCACAAATTTTTAATCTTGTTGTCTTGTCCTTTTTTCCCTACAAAAATATTGCGCTTAATTTTGATGTATTTTGTGCGAGATCCATGATGTGGTGACGTCATCCGCGACAAAATAATACATCCGAACTCGCGTGAAGGTTGAGCCGCGAGAGAGATAGAAGAGGTTCGCGTAGCGCTTCGCGTCGCGTTTCAAAAGAACGACGCTCAGCGGTCTCTTGAACGGAAACGCGACGAGCAAGTTTCTTTCTCAACGGAGACTGTGAAAACGAGCAACAAACGGCGTCTTGATATTATAATTGATTGTAGAGAGAAAAAAGGAATAAAGAAAAGGACAAAGTGTCGGCTCGCGAGAGAGGAGTGTGAGCGAACAAGAGGCGCCAACTTGAGAGGTGACCTCTGCATAATTTATGCCAACAGAAAACACGCATTTTCAAGTCGGCGCCGCGTGTGACAGCAACCCAATCAAAGTCAACGAAACCAAAGCCAACATAAATCTTAACGAGTTTGAATAATTTATTTGAAACTGTGTAAAATTTGTATGCATTATACAAAATATGGGATTGAGATTTTTATTATTATTTTAATAATAATATATTATTGTAGTTTGATTGATTCGAGGATTAATTTTATGGTACTCTTTAATTTGTCATTGAATTATGTTGACTTTAAACTCGTTTCACTCAATGAGTGTTTTTTCTCCTGGTTTTTAATTTAAAGAAAAACAATAGCAGACTGTCTTGCACAATTTTGACGATTTTTTAGCTAGACAAATTTGTATGCCGTGGCGTTAACAAACTTATTATTGTTTAATTTGGTTCAATTTTCCTCTTCTCTTTTTTATTGTGAGAATATATGAATAATAAAAATAACTTCATATATCAGATTTAATTACAAAAATTAAACTAGTATGAATTACGTTTACTTTTATGGTCTTGCAACCAGACTTCTCGATTTCGCAATTATTTTGCTAATTAAGTTTTGTAGTAATTAATTGTCAATCATTGTGAGTCATCAATAACTTTTCCGGCAAATTTCCACCGTCGAAAGTCCGCGTGAGATCGCGACCCTGCCAGTCTAAGATAATTTTTTGTACCCTCCGATCCAATTAAGGCGGCGAGAAATTAGCCAATTAATTAGGCGAGGCGAACGGATTGCGCGTGGTGCTGCAGAAATTAGGGTCATTGTCTTCGCCGCCGGTGGCCCGAGATGTGTATAATAATCCAATTGGCAGCGCGTGGACCCTTTCATTTCACGACTGCCGTGATTTGCAATTTACAAATTGATTTAATTTGCATTTGATTCAAGTTTCATTGACTGCTCGATTATGTGATTATAATTTTCTTATTATTTTGTTTGCAGAGTCACCGCCCCCGCCTTACCGCCGCTACCCTGACGAGAAGTTGAGACCTGAAGGTGAGTTGAATTAAAAATAATTTTTCGTAATCAATGTTGTTCAGTAATTTTTAAGAGCTGGAGCGTGCCATATCAGTACATATGTTAAAAAATTTCATTAGAATTAATTATTTATTATTTGAATAATTATGAATTGTATTACAAGTTTTTGATATAAATAAATCAATTGTCTCAATTCAAAAGCGCAAATTTAAAAAAAAAATCAATAAATACAAAAATCGTCATTGTCAAAATTTATATTATGAGTGTAATATTTATAAATAATTATAAAATTTTTAGCAGAAATTTGCAAAAATCGGAAGACGTTTTTTTTTTAATTTGAGAGCAATAGTTTTGGGCCGTTGCATGCGTGATGGTCAGCGGCCGTGGCCGTGCCTTGTTGGGCGTGGGGCCTTGGGGTGCGTGGGGTCCTTTGGGGCGCGTTGCTCGGCCGGCATTGAGGGCTAAGGCCGAGCCAGCTGACGAGCGACGAAGAACGAAGAGAGAGAGAGAGGTGCGGCGGGCGCCTGTGTGTGTGCTCACTCGGCGTCCGAGAGTCGCGGTGCTACCTGGCGAGATTAACCGATTAGCGGGCGCACCTGGCGCTGCAGCAGCGCTACAGAGCCAGCCGGCGACGCCACATCGCTTGATTCATGAGCTCGGTTGGCGCCTCGCTCGCGTCTCGCGCCCCCGGCCCGCCGACACACATTCCCCGATTCGGTCGCTCGAGCGCCGGCCGCTTCATTAATCCCACGGCCGCGCTCCTTGCACGCAACACAAAGCGCAAATATTAAATTTTTACAGCCCAATTTCTTGAAAAACTTTGTCCTCCACAATGCGGTTAAAAATAGAAAAATAATTGGCCGCATTGGAGAGGAATCTTTGACGTTTTAGATTATTGGAATGAGATTCTTTTCGATGTTAACATGTTTAGCCTTCTGCAACCAGAATTGAAATCGTGAGATATTAACGAGGGCTACTTAAAATAATTGCCCGTAGTTATAACAGTTAAACGATTTGTTTGCTAACGCATGAGCAAAGGATCGTTTTTCATTCAGTAATAAGGAAGGACGTGATTTTTTAGATGAAGATGTAAAATTTTTCATCCTCTCACCAACATGAAAATTTCTTCTCTGTTAGGATCATTTATGATAGGCCACTCTATTTTTTATTTTCACCTAAAAGTAACTTTAATTAGACTTATTTATAGTAAAATAAGCTAGGCAGAATTTCTCAGCACAACCTTGATCTATAAACAAGGTTATTTTTATAAAGTAAAAGAAAAAAAAATCATAATGTATTAATATAATTTAAAAATTGGGCATATATTTATCATAATTATTGTTAAAACTTTTTTTTTGCACAAAAGCTGTTTGTATAACTGTTAAAAAATTCGATTTTATTATTTCTTTTCATGACTTATATTGATAATTTTCCATTAAAATATTTGCTTTCAATTTTGATGCATATATTTCAATCAAAAATTTTAAAGGGAACTCGTGATTTCAGTCATGATTTCAAGTAGAAAGGTAAACGGCCATTTTGCAACTAAATTTAATTGTGTTAATTAATTTAATTAAAAAGAAGAGAAACTACTGTGGGAGGAAAAAACTACACATTTGAAAATTTAAAATTCCCCATCCGTAAACTGAATGGAATGAGATTGACAATGCTGAGTGCGACGGGCGTAGCATAATTTAAAAAGAAAAAAGTCGAAGTGGCGCCGGTCATGGAGGAAATCCCTTGGTTCGCGAGTCACGCCAGGAAAGCAGCGGCGCTGCTGCCTTATAGTTGCAATTAACCGCGGCAGGCAACAGGAGCTCAGCGCACGAATGAATGTATAAAAAGAGCGATCAAACGGCGCGCGGCGAAGAAACGCGTTATTTCCGAGAAGTCGCTGCGAAGGCGAAATAAAAGCTGACAAGGGCGCTTGCTGGCGCCATCAGCATCAACTTCCTTGTGTCACGGCGTGACCTCAGCCAGCCGCTCACAAAGACGCACCCAGAATCTGAAACGCACTTTGAATACAAATAATATATAAAATAAAACGGAGCTTTTCATTTGACTTTAATTGCACTTCTATAAATGTTCACAGATCGGGCGCCAAGCGAAGGAAGCAGCAGCACCAACAAGCTGTCCACCTCCACCACCTCGCCCAATTATTCGTCAATTTCCAATTATTCCCTAGGCAGCGTGCTGCGTTCTCCATCCCTTCCTACAAGTGGAGAGGGTGAGTTGATTTAATTTGCATTTTATAAATTTAGAGAGCTGGGAATTTCTTTTTAATTTTATAACTTAACTGTTTATGCAACCCGCACAACTTCATATTTCGTAAAATGCTAATTAAGGTTTAATTCCAAACATTAGAATCAAGTTTTTTAGTTGCATATGAAGTCATCAATTGAGAAAACGTTTTTTCCGGTCTGATTCTAAGTCAAGCCTCGAGGTTATTTGGTCTGTGGTTTGAAATCTCAAAATAAAAAAATTCACAATGGGAAATCTAAATTTAGAGCTCGCTGAATCGTCTGTCCTGATTTTTTTCGCTTATCTGACGGACTATTTTGGCGAGAGAAGCTGTCAAGCGTGTCGTCCTTTCGGCGCCTGAATTCTGCCCACCGGTGGCGCCTTTTTATCATCACATATTTGGCCGTGCGTCAAAAATTCTACGCGCGTCAGCTCGCGAAACTGTGTCATTTATACCATAGATCCATTCCCACACGGCGCCGACCTCCAGCAGTTTGTTTGTTCGTCGGTCTACCTGCTTGGATAGAACAGAATGGGGAGGCTTATTTTTCTTCCACCCCCCTGAGACGATTTTCTTCCTCCCCCGACCGGGGCTGGTTTTCTGAGAAATGGGCCTTTTTATAAATTCTCTGGCTCGGAATGGGATAGAAAAAGGAAGGAGGCTCATTAAGCAAATAGAGAGCCCATTAGAGGCGCAGCCGGCGTGACGAATTTATCTAGCGAATGCGCCACTCAACAAGTGTCAAGTGCATCTCTTTCTCCGCGCGAGCAGCGAGAAGAAGAGAGAGAAAGAGAGACGGGGCCGCCGCCGCGCCGACAGGGACAATGACTCGCGCGATGATAAGAAGATGCTGCGTGTGGCGCACAGAGCAACAGAAGCGCTTTCCTCTTAACCAGACACAATGTTGCAAAGTCTAATGGACAAAAAATGCCACCAAAGATGATTTCGTAGCATCAAAACAAACTCAAATCTGGTTTAAACTGCAACGGCATGATTAATTAATTTATCATTTTAAGATGAATTTAATTACATCAAAGATATTTTGATTAATTATGCAGTCAAATAATGTCTCCAACTTCAATTATATAAACGGTGCTTGAAAACCTTTTATCATTTCAAGGACATGTTAGGTGACAAGAAATAGAGAAATGTTTTGTTGAGATTTTTCCTCGCTGGCGCCAAACTCAATTTCAACCTCCTGATTCTTTCCATTCTCGTACCACAAACTCAATTTCCCGCCGAATGCACCTGCATTCCAAACAGTCCCACGGTGGCTTATTTACTTTTTTCCATTATCCGCAGCAGCTTATATGCTGGAAAATTCTTCTCGCAGCTCCCCGCAGCGCGTCAGATTGAAATTTAAGCTGACTTGGGCCGCATTGTCGCCTTCTTCACACTTCATTGGGCTCATTTGTCGGTGGGAGGAGAGCGGAAGTGTGCAGGGCATCCTTTCTTTGCAGCAGCAAACCTGAGAGTGAAGGGGCTGAAACCCTAGCACTCTTGAAACCTGAAGCTCGCGTGAAGCTCTGCTGCGGAAGGTTGGTTGATAAAAGAGTGCAGGGCGTACAAATGACCAAATTTTCTTTGCCTCCCCAAGGACGTCCTATTCAAAAGAATTTCTTTTCTGTTTATGAATTATCAATCGGTTAAAAATTACTATAGGTTCTAAACAATTCAGTTAATTTTAAAAGTAGCACTACTTGGAAATTTTCTGTTTAAACAAAGCTTTTTCCCCTATCTCTTTTCCTTTTGCATTAATGAAATGATTGGGGACAAATAATAGATTCATCATGGATATGAATTTTTTGAATTTACCAAATTAATTGATTAATGAATATAATATTATAATTTTCTTTTTTTTTTCAGTTGAAAGCTTTATGAAAACTTCCCTATGTTAAATAAAATTATTTTCTTCCTTAACACAATTTGTTGTATTTAAAATATTCTTCGACTTAATTATTTCAAATCACGTCACGGTAAAGACTAAGTTATTGTGTCAACGAGGAAAATCAGTGTAATAAGGAAAGTGGGAAACTCGAAACAATGGCGCGCCGTCTATGTATGGGTCTATCATTAAAATGCCCTCGAAAGTGGCGATGGGGCGGCTGATTTTGTTCATAATTATATCACTCTCGCAGGGAAAATATGCCGCGGCCGAATTCCTTTCGGCGGCCCGGTTATGACGCGGCACAAAATAGTCTCTGCGCTTTGCTTTATTTCTTGGTTCTCCTCATTGTTTTAAATTAAAACGCGCACGACGAACGGAAAGGAATCTTCGCAGAAAAACACACCAACTACGCAAATAGAATCCTTGGGTGGCGATGTGTGGCGTGTTTTTAATTGAGGAAAGCAGAAAGAAAGAAAGACAGAAACTTTGCTGTTGCGTCCGAGTGCGGCCAAAATAACACAAAAATCGTGCGCGGTCAGGGACGGTTTACGCCAAATAAATGAACTAAAGAAAAAACTTAATGAAGTGAAATTATATTAACAGAGCTGTTCCTTTTGTTTGAAATTGTTTCAAGAAAAATTAACCCCTATGAGGAAAAGAAATTTCAAACACAATTCCATAGTCACGCATCTAAATGAGTTTTAAACTATATTCCTCAGCACTTCGGAGAAGTTGATTGAATGAACAAGTGTGTACATTGAGGCACTTCTTGTGAAATTTCCGCCTAATTGTGTTGCTCCTCTCGGAGACCAACGTCAACGTGATTCATCACTTTCATCGACGTGAATTTTAATCGAAAATAATTCAGATCGCGAAACACTCTCACTCTCGTCTATCTCTGGCGCGGTGTGAGAAAAGAAGCGCGGCGATTTATTTTTCAGCATCCAAGCACGCTGCCCTTGAGGCGAATCTGGCACTTTTTGTTTCAAACCAGATTCCGTTTCATTGTTCCCAAGAGGCTGCGGCAGGAATCCGAGCAGTTTGTCTGCCCATTGAATCGCGGTGCATCTTTCTTCGCGGGAAACAAGGAAAACCGCACCCCCTGCGCATCAACCTATGGCACACACGTATTTTTCTCCACTTTGTTGAAAATATATATATAATTCAGGCCTGGCTCGCGGGAGTAGTCAGGCGAGCCAGGGTCCACCCATCGGGAAGGCACGCATCGATGTTGCGAGCGAGCCAGCGCGCGGTAGGCCTGCGCTTGTTGCTTTTGACCTTGGCCGTAAGAATCTCCTCTCTTGAGAAGAGAGTCTGTAGCCGCGCGGGATGAGTTCAAGCCTCGTCTTCGCTCTCTCGCGATTACAACAAATTTCGGATTTGGAAATACATAAACCGAGCGGCCCTCTTCACATTTATATACCTGCGCCAATGACATCATCCTCCCTCGTTAATTTCGCCACTTGTTTTAACGAGCCGGTCCGAGGAATAAAAACGAAAACAGGATTCGCGCCGCGTATTAATTGATTTCGCCGGGCGGTCGATCCTTGATGGTCTTCGGTCTAAAATTTTGTGAAATTTTGAACACCATCGATTGAAATTTGGGTGTACCTGCCTGCGGCACCATTTGCGCGGTCATTTGCTTTAATTGAAAGCAGACGGCTGTACTTATTCTTGGGCAAGAAAAAGCAGACGCCGAAATCGAGTGCGCTCTCTTCTCTTTCATTTGGTGGTTCGAGTGCAATAAGAAAGATCTGTTTGGTCGGTCCGAAGGCAAGGACAAAAAGCTGCTGGCTGGGTTTTTAAAAGAGCGGCCGCCGCCGCGGTTCTCGCGTCGCGCACGGTACACCGGTGACGTCAGATGGCGCCAGCCTCCCATATCACGTAAATAAGACGGGACCAAATGAGCAGCTCTTTTATTTTCCACCACATATGTGTTTGCATACACACACCAGCGAGCAGGCTGAGCAGGCAGCGGGCGGGCCGCGATGAGCACCACGCTCTCTCTGCCGCCGCGCTTCTGCTACTCAGAATAACAAATTCTGATTACGCGTCGTTAATATTTAACCCAACTTAGGATTATAAATTTAACCTGAAAAACTGCAAAACTGTAGGATAACTCTATCATTTACTATAAAATTACTGAATTAAAATTTAATTTAACTCAAGTCCTTTGTCCTAGATGCTGTGCCAATGCAAATATCTTATAATAAATTTACTGCTTGAATTAATTCACACTAATAAATAGAATCTCGCATTTAATTTTAATTTTTTTCCAATCTTCAAATAATAAAAAAAATTACCTGCAGGTATAGAAAATCTAGAAATAATTATCACAATATTTTTTTTGCCAAACTTTCGTAGAGAATTCTGTTCTCAGCTCTCGTATGTATTTTTTTTTTAAATTTTACAAACATTTTTCTATCTTCTTTTCCAACAGTTTTTCTCATGATTTTGTTTACATTTCAGGCACCGAACAGACTGATGAATGGTGCAAGCTGGCGTACTGGGAGCAGCAGCACCGTATCGGCGACCTCTTCTCGGTGCGCGCCTCCTCGGTGCACGTTTTTGGGGGACCAGCGCAGCCCGGCATTGCGTCGGCGGCCCTTTGCCTCTCGGACCTTGTGCCCAAACACCCTGGCGTTCCTACCGAGCCCAGCGAACCCATCAAGCGGACGCGCAGCAAAATCGGAGATGGTAAAAATGACTGGGAAAATAAAGAGAATATTGAAAGATCCTACTTTTTTGGCCTTGATTATTTTTTAAATTTTAAAAATAAAGGAAGTAAAAATTTTTGATCAAAATGCAGGGGTTTAGTTAATTAATGTGTTTAAAATTTAATTGATTGTTTTATTTTAAAATTTTTTGTTTATATATATTTATAATTTAAAAAAAAATTATTATTACAATATCATTTGTGTATCTTTTTCACACATTTTCCTGCATAAATTCAATGTTATAGCATGGTAACATCAGATTTTGACGTTCATGTTAGCATTTCTTTATTCAAATACTATTTTCCAAATTATTTAAATACTTTCTGATGATTGAAATGGGATTTAGATTCAAACCCACCTGTCTTTCAATGTCCTCATTTCTTAATTTATTCCACTCGCTAGCAAAAGAAACAGTCACTAATTTGCATATGTTTTGCAGGAGTGCTGATCAGTCAAGAGGGTGACACGGTGTGGGCGTACAACCTGTCCGAGTGTCCGCTGTTCGTAAACTCGCCGACGCTGGACGAGCCGCACTCGCGCTCGCTGGTGGTGTACAAACTGCCCCCGGGCCACTGCCAGCGCATCTTCAGCTGGGAGCGCGCCGAGCAGCGACGCCTCTTCAACTCAGTCATTGGCGGCGACCGCTCGATGGGCCCTGAGAACTCGCACTCGGTGCGCATCAGCTTTGCCAAGGGCTGGGGCCCCAAGTACTCGCGCCAGGAGATCACCGTCTGCCACTGCTGGCTCGAGGTGCTGCTGACCAGGCCCGCCCGGTGACCCCGTGCGCAAGTGACCTTTCTGTGTACAATGAGTGACCTGTTCGTTGTTCGTCGCCTCCGAGCCGCCTCCATCAGGGACTTTATTCTCTCTCGTACAAATCGGTGCTGCATTTTTCCTTTTCAGTCGGGTGAAAACAATTTAATATTTTTTACGGGAGGCCCCAAAGGACGGCGGAGGCGGCCGGGGGCGCTCACTTGATATTATGTACATAGAGCGAGTACGCAGATGAAAATATATTATATATTTATATCTAGAGTTATACATTTGATTATTTGTATATCGATATCATTGCCATTGTTGTGTTTTAAGAAGAGCTAAGAGTGTACCTGTCGAAGGCGTGTTACTCCTTCCCCCGGCACAGGGAGGCAAAACCGACTTCAATTAATCATTACAACTAATTATTATTATTTTTTTTTCAAATTCACTATATCGATGGATGTATTTACCACTAAACGCTTTTGAAAAATTCTCTTAGCCAACCGTTTGTTCGAAATCAATTCAGTTTGGTTGGGAAAATTCAGCTTGTTGTTTTTCGCAATTGCAACTCTCTGAGTACGTCTAAAATAGTAATATTTAATAATATATTCTGTGATGTCAAGGGTAAGAGAGATGATAATCATGACGAATGCCCTTTTGTTCACCAAACGAAGTTAAAGCCTCGCTCCTCTTTTGCACCTTTAAAGCATTTTTCTGTCCATGATCAGAAAGCATTTGAATAACCGAAATTGCCTCAAATTAATCGGATTCGATTTTGTGCCAAAAGAGGAGAGGAACTGGCTTTAGAACGAATTGAAAAAAGCACCCGAACATTCCGTCATCATTTTTAATCAACTTCTTTGAAGTGGAACTTTTGTCTTTTGTCCGGCCCTCGCGCTACCGCTGCCACCACTCTTGTTGTTGACTAAAACTACTGAGACTAGTACTTTTGTGCTGGAAAACCGTCCAGAAGAATTTCGACTACTAACTGAGCCACAGGGTTTTGCTTGTTGTTTTCTTGCTCGGTGATATTTGCGGCCCCGAACAATCGAAGAGCCGCAAGTGTGATTCAGAAAAAAGTAAAATGTGTCTTTTTATCACAGTAAGATGCCTCTTTCCGTGTTTTTCTACGTGTAGCGCTTGGCAACATATCCCTGTTGAAATCGAAAGAAATCAAATTTGTGTCGAAAGCAAGTCAAAGCAAGGCCCTGAAAATTTTCTTGGTTTTCCAAAGTATTTTCTTTTTCGAAGCGCGAAATCAGGCGTTTGTTTTGTTCGGTTAATGTGCTAAAATTTTACTGACAATCACCTCTAACACGTCTTTATTTAGATAAGTAATTTTTTTAGCGTCAAATTATTTTGTTGAGGAATCATTTTCTTTCGAGCAATTACCTAAACGCACCGAATCCTTTTCACGCGCATGTTACGAATGATGTTGAAAATAAACCCTTGCTGAATTTTGTGATTGTTAAATTTGAAAACAACGCCTTCAAAAGAAAAAAATTGCTAACCCAGGAGATGAAACATTACACAAGACACTCAAAATTTTGCATACTATGACGGTGGAATTTTTTATGGAAAATAAAAACTGCTAGGACAAAATAAACACAAACAGTGCGATTGACTTATGCATAATAATTATTATACATACATGTAACTACCGCTTTGGAGGAAGAGAGAAAGAAAGAAGATGAGATGCTAAAACATGTAATATATTATTGTAGTTATGTATATTGTTTAAAACTTTAAAGAAATGAGCAGGAGGAGAAACATGGTGGAGTTTAAAAAATCTGCCACCAAGATTTTTATTGAATAAAAAAGTAACAAGAAATCACGCTTTTTCATTAAAATGTCCCATCTTTATAAAAATTTCCTGTTGGGAATATAAACTAATTAATGTTTCTGACATTTTAAATTATCTGAAAAAAAATTGAGAAGTTTGTCTTGAAAATTGCCCTTTTTCGTATAATTACTATGAATCTCCTGCCCTAATTAATGCAAACTATCAATAAATTTGAAGGAAAGGTATGTCTGTATAAATCTTACAACCACATTTTAACCCTTTTTTTAGTTAGTTCGTGGTTCAACCGAGGGTGTCTCTCCCTCTCGGATGGCAAAGTGTTGCAACCTTTTTCCGAGAGATGTAGTTTGGGGTAGTAATTTTGCTATCTTTTGGCTTGGAATTTCATAAAAGTAAAACTGAGAGTGTAAACACACCGGCTGAAAACAAGAAAAGCAAGTTTATATTCAATTCATTGGAAATGACTGAGCAACTGGTGTTGAATTTTGACTCAGCCGGCGCTTCAGAAGAGAGTCCATCAGGGGTGCTGATAAGATGCGCTTTCTTCGCGGCTCACAAACACAGTAACCAGCGGAGGAAAAATGTGGATTCAACTCCATACATCAACCACCCTCTTGGTGTGTACTATTAGAATTGATAAATATATTTTGATTTGATGAATTTTCTTGATATTAGCCATTATTTTGTAAAAAAAGAAAAATTGTAATATGTTTTTTTTTAATTTTGGAACTAAAGTAGTGGATTTTAGTAACAATTTTGAATGTTTTAATAATATTTTACATTATTTTGCTCTACTTTATTAATAAAACAAAAGATAAATCGATAAATAAGCTATGTTACCACTCACAAAAAGAAGCAAAAACTAATTTTTAATTGAATTAATAATTTTTATTTTTTTATTTTAACAGGCGTTGCATTTATCTTGACAAATGAGGCTGGTGTGACCGATCTGAACGTTCTGCAAGCAGCGATTCTGCACGACACAGTTGAGGACACCGACACCACATTTGAGGAAGTTGAAAGCCACTTTGGGGCCAAAGTGCGCTCCATTGTGGCCGAAGTCACTGACGACAAAACGCTGGCCAAGCAGGAAAGGAAGGAGGCGCAAGTGAGATTCTTTGTTTTTATCCAAATTATGTTAACTTTTATATTAATGCACATTTTTCTATTTAAGGTGAGAAATGCTCCAAAGAAAAGCTATGAAGCGAAACTGGTCAAACTGGCAGACAAATTGTACAATTTGAGAGACCTTTCGTCACCCAATGGACGTCCGCAAGACTGGGACGACGAAAGGGTCAGGGAGTACTACCGATGGGCTCGAAGGGTAGTTGAAGGGCTGAAGGGCACACACCAGGGATTGGAGGATAAAATTTTCAAACTGTGTGACAAGGGAGAGAAAATTTAAAGTAATTTTCATAAACTTCATGTTGCAAAACATTACAACTTTCAAAGTTGCCTAAAATAAACACTGTTGATTTAAAAATCTTTATAGTAAATTTTACTCAAATTTATGATTTATTGGAACTTGAAATGTGACAAAACACATAATTATGGATTTTATTATAGAATTCTAAAAATTAAATTTTAGTGTTACATGCTATGATGCATGAGTTTGTCAAAAATTAAAACTTTTTTCTAAAATGAGAAATAAAGTGCACAAAATTATAAAAAAAATTTATATTTTGTTTTCACGTACATTTGCAATTTTCGTACTTTTTTTATTATGGCTGGTATTTAAAATAATTACAGAATTCTAACAAAAGTTATAGCAATTACTTATGTTAATAGTTGCCAAGTATCATATTGATTGTTAATCGATTGTTAAAGCTACTCCTTATTTTGATACAAATGGAAAGTAAAATTGAAGGAGTAAAAAAAAATCATTATTTTATATAACCGTTAAAGGAAGTAATTCTAATAAATTATTTCTATTACATACTAACAATGGCACTTTTGATAAAAATAGATTTTGATTAAATGTAGGATTGCTGATTGTGAGTGGTTGGTTTGCTATTATTTCAGTCGCAGGCCTCTTTTATTGTGGTGCTGCTTTGTTCCGCACCGATTGTGCAATGCCACATAATAATCAACGAGTTCATAACAATCACGTGTCACCGCAGCCGTGCGGCCGAGGACATTATTTTTCACAAACAAAAACAGCAACAAACTCGGCGCGGGTCGGCGCGGCTGGTGAACCCAGGCTGACGTTTGCGGCGTCAGAAGGCTGCTGACGCTGAAGGGCGGGGGCGGAGGTACATTGTGATGCTGTCACCGCCACCTGATCAACCCTTAACTAGCTCAAGTAATCGGGGGAAATTGTGTGCGCGCGCCCGGCTTAATTTATTAGGTTTGCTGGTGCCGCCGAGCGAGCGGATAATGCGCCAAAGACAATTCGCGTCTCTCATGCCTGCTGGCAGCGGGGTGCACACCTCACTCAGTCGCACACACACACACACACACACACACACACACACACACACGGGGCACCAAAACCCCCATTGTTGCTACCAAAAAGATTAAGGTGAATGTTACTACATCAGTTTTGACAATAAAATGTAAAAATATTCATTAAAAAAATTAAATGCAAATTTTTTTTAAAGTTTATCACTACGGTGGATGGGGGTTTTTTTGGTCTCGAGTTTTAGCAAAAATTCTTGCTACTGGTGGTGCCGTTTTTTCCCCGAAAATTCCTTTTTCAATTAATTTGTCTTCAACAATTGATGTAACAATTTGAACAAATACACAACAATAATAAAAATTATATTAATTTTGGCTGCGTTTATTACTATAAATAGTTAAATATTTTTTTTTTATAAATTCATAATTATGTAAAAATTTAAATAAAAAATATAGTTGCAAAGTGTCTTTATTGATTGTATCAGAAGGCAATTACTGCCCAGGTACATCATACATACATTCAAATAAAATTATCAATTTACATAATAGAGAGGAAAATATAGAAAAAAAATGTTTTCCGCCCGTTAATTTCTCAACTGACAACTATCAAACATTTGCCAGGGTTATGTATTTTAGATATTTATATTAATTTTATTATTTCCCAGCTTGCGCCACCTGATTAAATCTACAATCAAACGTATTTTCCCTCATTGCTCATTGTCTGTTGGTTTATAAGTTTCAGTTATTTATTTAAGTGTGTATGTATTGTGTATTTTCAATTTTTCTTGCCCTGCTGGCGTAGAATAATTGAATAGAACATTAATATCAAAACCACATCCATATTATCATGAGAGGTCGAAAACCGGTCTCGTTACCTTATGGGTTCACCACGTTGCGCGAAGAAACAATGTCGCCTTTGAACGCGGCATTATAATTATAATTAGCGTGTCGGGAGTTGAAGGTTTTGATCTGCCACAACCACTAAGCAATTACAAGCCATTTTCCATGAACGTTGCCAAGCATGAGCTCTCGCAAATTAATTGGAGGAAATTTACTTTGATAAACTCCGTAGTCGGTTTAATTTGTTTCATTCTCAAAGCCCAGCAGCAACTTTTGTTTTGAAGAAAAAAACTGAGGTAAAGAATTCATGAAGAAGAATATAGATTTGATAAAAGTGATCATTTTTCAAACTTAAAATAAATAAAATAAACTCCAGGCCCATTATGAATTTACAAATGAGAAGTTCCTCATTGTTGTCTCCACACAAAAGCACCCCCGCTTGGGGGTGGGCGTTGTGTGCTCGGTATATATGTTTTTGTTGTTGTTGTTGCGTTGTGTGCAGAGGCAATAAAATATCACTGCTCTAATAACCGCGACGTCAAACGCACTCACGCACGCCCGCTAACGAAAATTTGATCGCGTTGTTGCTGAACGATTGTAATAACCATCATTATCAGCGCAAGTGCTGTCTGCGCGTCGATCTCATGTTTCAAGCCAATTACCTGCGGCTCGCGGGGGGGCCGTCTGCCGATGACTGCCTCCGCGCCCACCCCATCACATTATACATACGCAAGCAGCATTCTCGCAACAAAGCCAATCGGCACCAGAGATTGCGGAAATTCGCGATAGACAGCAATAAATTCACCCTGCTTGTCATCGCTTGCAAAATTTTGAACTAATGGAATCAGTGGGGTGAAAAATGCAACCTGCTTGACGTCGAAGTTCAAGTGGTTGCATAGATAGAGTTTTTAGTTCTTGGAAAATACAATTATTTATTGTAAAGAAAAAAATTTCTATTCATCATGTCTGCTAATATATTATTATCTATTATTAACACTTAGTAAATTTACGTCTATTCATTTACATAATTAATTTACAAATTAATTTTGTTTAAAAATCTAGGTTTATCAATCTTGGCACTGCTTATCTGTTTTATTTATTCACTATCAATTGATTGAGTTTTGAATTTCCAACGAAAAATGAGTAAATATTGAGTTTCTGTCATGTTAAATATATTTTTTAACCCGCATTAGAATTATTTAGAATATAGAATTTGTGTCAATATCAATGGAGAACAAAGCGAATTTCGTTGACGAAAATCGGTCCGTCAAGTCCATTGGTGTTTCTTACATGATAGTCTGAAGACCACTCAATGTTCAAAGCTGAAAAAACCCTTTTATCCAGCGCAGAGTCGGTCAGGGCGGCATTGACCTCCGAGTACTTAGGCAGGGTGTAGCTGTTGCAACTGTGCGGCCGGAAGAGCAAAGTGAACGAGTACTCGATGCCCTTCTTGAGAAACGGCGGACTCGGGGAGCGAAATTCCCAACAGGAGTCGCAGGGGAGATCGGGAAGGTTCAAGTTCTGGTCACCACCGAGGCCACGCAGAGTCACGTTGCAACTGAACTTGACCATTTTAGTGCCTTTTCTCTCAAAAATATTTTTAGCCGCGTTGAACTCGATGCCAGGACTGGCCTCTTCAAGAATTATGGGCAGACACGTGAATCCGGTTAGGTACAAATCCCGCGCCGGTTTCAAAACGATCCTGTTCGAAATTTGGTAGTTTGTGGTGAACTTCGCAGTTTCGCCCTCGTTGGCCAACATTAGGAGCGGCGAAATGATGGTCTGCGTCATTTCCTGCAGTTTGTACATTCGAGGAAACGCCTGTCTGCAAATAGTTGCAGGAAAATCATCGCACATTTTTTTAGTGATGCTGAACTGAAGGACAGCCGCTTTTTCCGCGTGGGTCAGGAAGTCGGGCAGGAGGGCGGCGGAGGTGGCAGGCAAACACAAAAGCCGCAGTCCTGGAAGTAAACTCCTCATCGCCTCCCTGAAAAAAATTTAGCTCATTGAGAGATTGGTGCTAAAAGATTCTTTCTTCTAAATAGTGAGATTTTATGTGGAAATTTCCTGGCTTAAGTTTGTTTTTAGCAAGAAATTGGAGGATTTATTTTAAATCTAGAGACCGTTAAACAATAATTTTTCCTAAGTTTAAAATTAAAACAATATCATTGGTGTAAAATTAACTATTATATATTCTTCCCGAAAATATATTAAATAAAAAAAGGAATAATAAAAACTCCAAAAATAAAATGAGAATCTATAGGAGAATACAAAATATATAGAATATAAATCTAAACAAATATATTTTTTGTGAACAATTAATAAGTTATTTCTTATTTCCTATGCATCTGAATAAATAAGTGACTTATTTTTATTTAAATGAGAACTAAAAATAATTTTAAATATCCCTGGATAAAATTAATTCTTGGCCATTAGTCGGTTTTCATCAATTAAAAAAAAAAAAATTAAAAACCTTGGATCGGACTGATTTTTGGCCCACTTCCAGCAATACTTGATTAGTTCGTCTTCGGATATGGTGGACAATCTGTCCAATCTTAGCATAGCATTCACACTTTCAGCAGAGACGCTCAAAAACATCTCCTGCTCCAAGCACTCTTTTGTGTTATGTATCAAAACCTGAAAGTGAAAAGAATAGAATAATATTAAAATTTTCGTTAATTCAAATCTAGTTCCTTTTTTAACTGTTTTAAATTTCTCATAATTAAAACTTTTTATTTAAAAAAAATTTCCCACTCAAAAAATTTGTTTAAATAGGTCTAGCATACCTTCTTATAAAATGATCACTTTTTAAGATATCGCTTAAAAACAAGACTAATACATACATAGAAAATGCTACTTTTATATTTCCATTAATTTTAGATTCTAGATCAATCTAAGAAAACGAAGGATTTTTTTACCTCGTTGCACGCACTGGCCACGTCCGTGAGGTTGAATTCCAAAACTCTGTTTAACACGCTCCATACATTATCCACTGACACTCTGGCGCTGATAAGTTCGAAGCAATGGAGCTTCAAAGGTTCGATCAAAAAGTGGTCAGCGGCGATCGCGACTTCCACCGCGTCCGTGCACTCCACTTGCGAAACTAGTTCCGTGAGGTGCAAAAACCTGTGAGTTTTTATCTAACTGTATAATTTATTTAATAAAAAAATTGATTCGTACTCAACGATGAGCCTGAAAATATGTGACTCAACGTTGTTGAGGCGAATTGGAAGGGGTGGGCAAAGGGGGCTATTAAACAGCCCTTCCATGAAGCCGCTGCTCATCATCATGATTGATTTCACCGCGTGCACCTCCTGAAAAATTTGCCTATTTGATTTTTTTTTCACGTATGGTTTTTATTTTTAAACAATTTATTACTGATTTTTTTTGCGCAACTTCAGCCCTTTTGATTAGTGTTTTTATCACATCATATGTTTGCAACTCTGCAACTATTTCAAACAAGAGCCACTTCACTTGATTAATTTTTTTTTTAATTTCTCCATGTTTTTGGTGAAATGCGTTTATTTTATTTTGAATTTTTAGAATAGATTCAAGATAATAAAGAAAAAAATTTTACCTACTTTATGGAAGTAGTGATTTTTCCTTTGAAAATGAATACATATTTTTTAAATTTTAAAACTAATTAATCAAAAAAGATGACTACAGGTGGATTATTGAGCACTAAAAGGTCTAAAACGCGACCCTTCCCTTATCATACCTCAAGCTGCTGGCCATCGGCTCCGACCAAAAACGAGCAGTCCGTGTATTTTCCAGAGTTGAGCGCCTCCAACCGTTTTTCCAAAAGCACCTTCCGACACAGACCGTCAAATTTGCTCATTTTTTGACAGTGCAGCTCGATTTGGTGAGCACCAGATTTGGCAGATTAACTAACTGATAAGGTTACCAAACTACATGGAAACCACTTTATCTTTATATTGGCTGGAGATAAGCATTGACTGCAAATACGTTTAATAAGGTGGGCTATTCATTCTCACATTATTTCATTGTCACCTTAACGTGACAAGAACATTCAGGTGCCAATAAACAATAATAAATATGACAAAATACATACTTTTGAATTTTGAATGAAATAACATAGACGATGAATACGATGAGATGCACAGGAAATGTTAAATAACAATTGTAAATTATTTAAAAAAAGAACAAAGTATTTCTTTTTTATTTTGCTTGTATGCCTTATGAGCTCATTACTTTTTACAAATAAAATAGAATCATAAATGAGATTGAAAAAAAATGTATTATGTAAATATACGGCTGGTGCCTTTTTACAAGAGGTGTTCCTTAACATAAAAATTAATATCAACATCAATGATATGAGCCATGATTAAAAAATCAGATAAATTACTGATAATTATATATATAAATTTTAATTAACTTCTGTACAATGTTTAATTTGGTGTAGAAAAATTGTGAGTAAAATTTGAGGCATAAATGCGTGATTGGGCAAGCGATCGAATGCTCCATGCTGAAAGAAGACGTGGCAGTCAAAGTGCCTTGTTTCTCGCAATCGACAAACAGGCTTTGCGATTTGTGCGGCGCCATTAAATATCAGAGATGCACAACAATTATCGCTTGTCACAATTAGACGGAACGAGTTATTAGGCGCGCAAAATTGCTCTCCTTTGCCGGCGCGCTAATGGCCAAATTGCCGCGAGCTGAAATGCACGGCTTCGTCTTGTGGGCCGCGTTTATAATTGCGTGCACATTTTCTTTCGGCCGTTTCAGCTTCGAATGAGAAGAAAGCAAAAGACGCGGCACAAAGGCATCAAATCATCAAAGTGGCAGAATCGACGGGATTACGTGCCACGTGTGATTATATCGTCTCTCTCTCTTTTTCTGTGAAAAACAAAACAGCCCGCAGAATGCATCACCGGCCTTTTGTGCGGGACGCGAGAATAATTGATCTGCGCTGCAAATTGCTGTCCTCCAATTGTTTCACCAAGCTTTTATTTATTCCTCTGCTGTCATGAATATAAAACTGCAATTATCACTTTGCATTGTTGTGGTTTAAAAGCAAAAAACGAAGTTTGCATTTTAATATTCCTGTATAACGATCAAAATTTAACTCTCATCTGTTGGTTTTTTTTTTCAAATGAGCGCGAACTGAAAACTAGAATACTGATAATACTGTATTGTATAGCTAAAAGAAGAGGGCACAGATTAGAGGATGATGCAAGAAATAATATTTTGTAAATGAAAAACAGCATTGATAAATGTAAAGCTAAAATGGAAATAACTTTCAAACTTTGTAAGTCCAGTTATAAGATTTTTTAAAAGTTCACATCATATTGCTTATATTGCTAGATCAATATTTAAAGATTGAGCAGATAAAAAAGAACTCTATAATCGCAAAATTTTGTATTTTTATTTGTAATGATTTTATTATTATTTTACTCATTGTCAGACAAGAAAATTGATCAAAAATCCAAACATCCCAAAAAATATAAGGCTACAGTCTCAAATTTTGATGATAAAGTTCTTCCTAACAACTACTGCATTTAAATTTACATTTCTTTTAAGTAAATTAGGCCTTACTTTGATATGAATGGCGCTGAAGTATATTAACTAATTTTGAAATTCAGGGATTTCAAAACAATTTCAAATTTAATGTACACATATTAAATAAAATGCATAATAAATAAAGAATCGTAAAACACTTAATAAGAACGTAAAAATATGTTACAAATATTTATAAATAATGCAAATTGATTTAAAAAGTTATCATCTTTTCTTTATAAGCACTTAAAATTATTTACAATGATCAACCTACTTTAACGCAGCTTGAATTATTTGACTTTATAGTTGGTCATTGCGATAGATTTTGACCGAGAAATTTATGGTCATTGTAACTATTGACCTACAACCTAAGCATAAAGAGAGTTCACTTTTGCGCTATGAAATGACGCCGTTATAAAGCATTAAAATCAATTAGTGCCGAGGAGGATAATTGGCGACGAGAGCTTTGAGTGAAATGACAAGCGAGGCGATTTGCCCCTTTGTTGGTGGAAAAAGGGGCTGGATTTGGCTGCTGAATGGGCGAGAGCATTATTCGAGAGTAAAGAGGAAACTAGTGCAAGTTGGCGACAATTATAATGCTCGCCTTGGCCCCGGCGCGCAGAGAGTCGGCGGGCGATTGTGCAAAGTTTCATTGTAGCCTCTTTCAGCTCTCGCCGGCGACACGCCTAATTTGACTGCAAAGTGTTTTGCTGTGTGTCGTGCATGCAGATTATCGCCGGGACATCCATATCCACTTTGCAGCGCCGAGGAGGACTAAATTGTTCGGAACACGGCCGCCGGAAAAGGAACGGGCGCATTAAAAGAGAGAGAGGGTGGAAGCCGCCCCCTTTTTCCATCATCCGCACCTTCGGGTCAAAAGAGTGAGTGGAATAGCAGGCGAATAAAGTGGTGCTGCTCGCAGAAATTGGTTTTAAATTCGATAAAAATTGTGACAATAAAATGAGAAGAAAGAAATAAAAGGGAGCGAGCGATAGAGAGAGAGCAGGTCTCTTTTGACAAAAGCGGCCGTGCCTTTTGGCTGCAGGGAGAGTTGAATGGATTCATTTCCTGTAACATTGTGCACAGCCTCTCTATCTCTCTCTTGCTCATGTATTCACTCAGCCAGATACATCGGCGGGCGCGTGTATTTTGCAGAATCACGGCTGACAACTCACTTCAAAGGGATCGCGCGAGTCGAATTATCATCGTTTCGCAAGTAATTGGTGTCGACATGTGCGTGATCGGCCACTCATTGTTAATCTGTGTGCAACAGTGTATCAGATGGGGGAAAAATATCAAAATCAATAGTTACAATATTTAAATGTTGTATTAGAAATGGTCTAGATGCATTTTTTATATATAAATAATCAAGAAAGAGAGAAATATACATATATTTTTTTTAATCATATTGTAAATCTTTTTAACAATTGTATTTAACTAACAATTTAAGTTTTTTATATTGCCGTACAGTTTCTTTCAAAATGGATCTCGCACACTCAAGAAATATGCCTTTTTTTGGGATTCTGAAAAAATCCTGCATAGCTACTGACATGAGCTCTTTTTATTGCTCACTTTTAAACTACTTACTAGAATAAATTATTTATAAGATTATTTTTGAGGATGAAATTGTACTTATTTTATTTTAATTAAAATAAATTTTGAAAAACAATTTATTTTCCTCACTGTTCTACAATTTTAAGTAAAAATTAAAAACGCTCAATCTAGAGTATAAAATGAAAAATTTTGTAAATATATAATATAACAAAGTAATAAATATAATTGTTGCATGTTATAAATAATGGATTTTCTTTAGAAAACTTATAGCGCCACGAAAAATAAATTAGCCTTGCCTTTTCCATTTGACTTTCTTCATTCTACAGTAAAAAAACTCTCCCTTTGCAAACGAAATGAGCTGCTGCTGATGCTGGAAAAGAGGGAGCAGCGAACTTAATTAAGACCGTTTTAAAATGAAAATCATTGTGCAAACAGTCACTTCTTTTAATTACACATTTAAATACAAAGCAATTCAATTCTCGCTGTTTTTGCCATCCCTGAAAGTCTTTCGCCGTCGCTCTCCGGCGAGATAAAAAGAAAGACCAACTTAATTAAGCTGGATACGCAATTAAGCCGCTTAGAGCAGCACGGAGGAAATTATCATTCTCTCCCTCGTTTTTCTTATTCATTTTGGGACAAAGTTGGATTAAAAATTCGCACGCAAAGAAAAAGAAATTAACCTCGCGGGGCTGTTTCCCCAAGCAGCGCTGACTTTTTATTAAATTTCTTTGCAAACTCTTCTTTCTGTCTGCAGGACGGCGGTTTCTAATAATAAAAAGATTAGCCCAAAGACCAACGCAAGATGTGTGCTCGCGTAATTACAGCTTGTTGACTTTTGATCAAGTTTTATTAATTCCCGTAAAACTTTCAAATTGAGTTCTAGAAGAAAGAAACTATTAAAAAAATCTAATCGTCTCAGGCATATGCGAGAATCGTCCTTTTTTTGGACCCGTTGAATGGAAAATGCGGTGTAATTATACGAGAAGAAAGATTGAGGGGGCTGCCGTCGTTCTCTGCGCGATAAATAGCTTCATAATTTGCGCATCACTCGAAGCTAATTTGGCGCGCATAATGACACGGCGCGCATCTTCATATATTCTACTCTCGGCGAATAATTAGTCCTGCAGGGCCGGAAGTGTCTCGTTCCGACTGCGGCATTTCGCGAAACAAATGACGGTAATCATGTCGCCGCGCGCGCGTTTTAACAAAGTGAATCTGCACCCCGCGTTCTCGTCGTCCTCGCAGTTGCCACCCCCGCACATGAATATGCGTCCGCCTCGAAAATAATCTGCACGCGAGTGAATGCGAGAGACGTAATTAGCGTCGGGCTGATGACAGTCCATTGGTTGCGGATTGACAGTTTTTAAATCTGCACTTTGCGAGTAAACACATTTTTGCAATTGCTTGTAACATATTTAAAAAATAATGCTAAATGTATTCCCATAAGTTAAAAATATTGATCATAATGGAAAGGAAATTACACGTTTTTACATAGTACAATAAAATGAATACATAATATTTTTCCTAAGTTGGACGCGATTAGTGCCTAGGCTGCATCATTCGACCTTGAGCTATGGGTTGATCGAGAAGTGATCGCATGCAATCATCTATCCCTTATGATCGCTTTCGGCTTTTCAAAATTTAAAAATCCTAGAGATTTCAATCGTGTCCAACCTTGTATTTTGTATAATTATTGACTTGACGTATGATGTTATGTGTATATAACCGTAATGAGTGGAGAATAAATAAATAAATAAATTTGCTATTGGTAAAAGAAAAAAAATATTTTCATTGGT